AAAGACTCTTCTGTTGCTGTGTGCTCTCGTTTGCCCTGTCTCGTGGCTGTGTTTGGTCCACATCAGGGCCAGTTTTTGGTTAATTTTCCATTTTTGAATATTTTTAAAAAATACCTGTCTTTTATTCTTAAAAAAAACAAAAATATTCTATAAAAAGAAAAGACTCTTCTGTTGGTGTGTGCTCTCATTTGCCCTGTCTCGTGGCTGTGTTTGGTCCACATCAGGGCCAGTTTTTGGTTAATTTTCCATTTTTGAATATTTTTGAAAAATACCTGTCTTTTATTCTTAAAAAAAAATATTCTAAAAAAGAAAAGACTCTTCTGTTGGTGTGTGCTCTCGTTTGCCCTGTCTCGTGGCTGTGTTTGGTCCACATCAGGGCCAGTTTTTGGTTAATTTTCCATTTTTGAATATTTTCTAAAAATACCTGTCTTTTATTCTTAAAAAAATACAAAAAATATTCTAAAAAAAAAAGACTCTTCTGTTGGTGTGTGCTCTCGTTTGCCCTGTCTCGTGGCTGTGTTTGCTTCATATCAGGGCCAGTTTTTGGTTAATTTTCCATTTTTGATATTTTTTAAAAAATACCTGTCTTTTATTCTTAAAAAAATACAAAAAATATTCTAAAAAAAGACTCTTCTGTTGGTGTGTGCTCTCGTTTGCCCTGTCTTGTGGCTGTGTTTGCTTCATATCAGGGCCAGTTTTTGGTTAATTTTCCATTTTTGAATATTTTTTAAAAATACCTGTCTTTTATTCTTAAAAAAAACAAAAAATATTCTAAAAAAAGAAAAGACTCTTCTGTTGGTGTGTGCTCTCATTTGCCCTGTCTCGTGGCTGTGTTTGGTCCACATCAGGGCCAGTTTTTGGTTAATTTTCCATTTTTGAATATTTTTTAAAAATACCTGTCTTTTATTCTTAAAAAAATACAAAAAATATTCTAAAAAAGAAAAGACTCTTCTGTTGGTGTGTGCTCTCATTTGCCCTGTCTCATGGCTGTGTTTGGTCCACATCAGGGCCAGTTTTTGGTTAAGTTTCCATTTCTGAATATTTTCTAAAAATACCTGTCTTTTATTCTTAAAAAAATACAAAAAATATTCTAAAAAAAAAAGACTCTTCTGTTGGTGTGTGCTCTCGTTTGCCCTGTCTCGTGGCTGTGTTTGGTCCACATCTGGGCCATTTTTTGTGGAATCAACTCATTCATTTTGAATATTTTCATAAAACTCCAATTTATCAAAACAACAACAGCAAAAAAATCTATAAAAAAATAAAGAGTCTTTCGGTGGCTGTGGTGGCGTTGTTCATTTGTGTAGTTCATTCCAGTGCGCGATCCTTTTGGCGCAATAACCTAAAGTGGCTAGCAGTATCTACTGCTCAGCGCGTATTATTGTGTAGTTTCAACGCAGTGCGCTCCTTATTTGCCTATTCACGAAGTGTGGTATATAATAATATCAGCAAGTGCTTTGCTCATCTTTGTTGTAGTTCGAGCTAAACTCAACAGTGCGGCAACTCCTTTGTCAAACGAACAAAGTGCTTATAATACTAGGTGATTGCTTCATTTTGTGTAGTTCCAACCAGTGCGCTCCTTTTGCCAACACAAAGTGCTACATACACTGCTCGCTCATTTGTGTAGTTCCAACCAGTGCGCTCCTTTTGCCAACAGAAAGTGCTATAATACAGTGCTCGCTCATTTGTGTAGTTCCAACCAGTGCGGTCCTTTTGCTCATTATTTGTGTAGTTCCAACCAGTGTGATGAAACGCTTCCTTCCCGGCTTTTCTAGTCGCAAGGGCCAAGTGCTATCGCGAATACCGAAGAAAGGCAGGGGACTGAAGATGAACACATTGACAAGAAGGGAACATTCATCCAACGAGATGGTTATTGAAACACCCACAGATGCTTCAACCAGCTGTGAGATGGCAGAACCTTCTTCTTCATCAGTTCGAAAAACTCTACGTTCAGATCCTGATGTCGTTCCAAGTACCTCTGATATTACTTGTTATGAAGAGGAGGGCGAGGAGGCGGACGTGTCAGAGGAATGGGAGGAAGACAAGATGGAATGTGCTTCCACCACAGGAATTAGTGATCAAGAGGACTGCATGCTGATGGAGGGCGAGCTACAGAAACAACCAACGATTATACTCCCTTCCACAAACACCGACAGTCCAAACACGAGCATGAGTACATCTGAAGTGCCTAGTAGGGGTAGGCCGAGATCGCTCCTATGGGATCATTACGACGTCCATAATGAGAGGGCCACTTTGGCAGTTTGCAGGCATTGCGGTGTGAGCGTCAGCAGAGGAAAAGATATGAGGCATCTTGCCACAACAGGGCTAAGGATGCACATTAAAATACACCACCCCCAAATGTGAAGTTGGTCCTTCTTACTTAACTTGCAATACTGCTACAGAAATTAGTATGTATGCAATACTTCCCAGATAATTTTCAGAGTTTTTTCAAAGTGCAATTTCTGTTACTTTTTGTTACTTTTTCTTTATTTATTTCTTATATTTACTTTCTAAGTTTTATAATAACATTATTTTTATATATTAATAATTTATAATTTAATTTTATATATTATTTTTATTATTATTTATAATTATATTTTATAAATATTTTATAAATTTAATTATATTTTATTTAAATATTTATATTATTATTTATTTCATTTATATAATATATATAATAATATATTATTATATTATTTTATTTTATTTTATATTGTATATATTATATAATTTTATATTATTTATTGTTATTTATTTATTATTATTATTATTATTATTATTTATATTTTATTTATTTAAATTTTATTATTATATTATTGTTTATTTCTTATTATATTATTAAATTGACTCAGTTTTGGATACTTTATCTTATTACTTTTTTATTTAATATCTTAATATCTTGTTCTATTTGATTATTTTATTTGATTTATTTTATGAAATAATTTTGTTTATAGAGCATTTAGCATTGCGCAATCGCGCCCGCCGTTTTAACGAATCGATTCGTTATTATTTTAATAGCGAATCGATTCGTATTTAATAACGAAGTTTCGGAAGTCGCTTTTGCGCATGCGCAATCGCGTCCGCCGTTTTAACGAATCGATTCGTTATAACCTTAACGAATCGACCCCGCACCCCCCGCCAATAACGAAGCTTCGGAAGTGATTTTGCGCATGCGCGGGGGGCCCGCCATCTTAACGAATTGATTCGTAAATATTAACGAAATTTCGTAAATACCGAACTTTTTTAAGGGAAAATTTTGTAATTATTTTAAATATCGAAACAAAAAAACCCCCCAAATACAAATCGATTTTAGAAACAAATTTTTGCGTTGTTACCCAGGCCTAATAGATAGATGTGAATAATTTCTATTAATTTATCAGAGGTACTTTAATATGGAGGAATTATTTGAAATAGTTGTTGAGCTGCAATAGGGCGGGGAGATCTGGAGGCAGGAAGTGACAGTATAGTGAGCAGGATATAAAGCAATACTTCCTTTGTTTCTCCCATAAAATTTAATGGACGTCCTACAATTGCACTAGAATGTCAACAAAGAAATTGGTTATATTGGCTCTAAATAGTCAATTTTGTTCAAGAAAGGAGAGCTGTGATCACAGAAGACTCCTTCCATGAAGAAAAAGATCACACAGTGAACATTTTGAATTCATCCTGTAGTGATGGGTTATATCATGATGTTGAACCCTTCCCTATACTATCCAGATATATATGTGTGTGTGATACACCCACATATATACACACATATAATGGGGAAAAGGTATAACCACTGAAGCTTTATCACCAATCCTTGTTTCTACAATAAGGTGTATTTTTCAAAATCCAAATATCACAGGGACTAAAAGTGAGTTGAAATCAAATACCATAGGGGTGTTAACCCTTCCCTATGCTATCCAAAAATTGAAATATATATCACACACACATATATACACACACACAGCTAGTCCCCAAATTGTGAATAACTGTAGAGTTATTCTTAAGTTGAATTTGTATGTAAGTCAAAACAAGTACATCTTTTAACTGCAATATATATATATATATATATATATATATATATATATATATATATATATATGGATAGCATAGGGAAGGGTTAACACCCCTATGATATTTGATTTCAACTCACTTTTAGTCCCTGTGATATTTGGATTTTGAAAAATGCGGCTTGTTGTAGAAAAAAGGATTGGTGATAAAACTTCAGTGGATAAACCTTTTCCCCATTATAACTTTCAGGAGTGATTTTCTTTTCCAAAGGGGAGATTTCTCTCACTTTCGGTTGTCTCACTTATGAGTCACTTGTAAATCAGATGTTTGTAACTCGAGGATTACATATATATCTCCCTTTATGTAAGAGAGCTTTCTCTGTACCTGCTCCCCATTTGTGTGTGTGTGTGTGTGTGGGTGAGAGAGAGAGAGAGAGAGAGAGAGAGAGAGAGAGAGATCTCACAAATGGGGAGCAGATAGAAAGCTCTCTTCCATAAAGGGAGATACAGACTTTCAAGATAATTCTCTCTAGACCATATCTCTTTATTAGCCTGACCAAGATGTGTAGGGTTTTAAAGATAACAATTCACAATTTGAATTCTTCCCAGAAACAGAGCAGCAGCCACTGGAGCTTTTTAACAAGGCAGTTAGTTATATGCTTCCTATAAACCTGGTCCATTCGGCAACTTAGTCCCTGCATATTGTCCTCTCTGCACTCAAAGAGATCAACATTTGATTGGTGTTATGATATGTGTAATATATTTAGTTGGCTTTAATCTTTTATGCTATATTGTTTCATTTTCTGCTTTCTTTGGTTTATTGGTGCAGAATTGTCTTAACTCCTTCTATCTGTGCTATAATATGCTGGAAATTTTGTAATGGCTTCTTTTAGGATTGTGTGAACTACCATGAAAACCATATTTAGTGAAAAAAATGGGGTGATTTTTACATAAATAAAATGGCATGATAAAACGGTTGTACTCCATAAAATATTTTTTTTCCTGTAGCTTTTACCAGATTCGTGTATCTATGAAAATTCCTCCAAGAGTTCCACACAAAATTGAAGCAAGCTTGTTACATGCAGCCAGTAAGTGTGACTATTTTTCATTACTGTATAATGATTGTAGAAACACTGTCAATGGGGTAAATATTTGTTTGTTAAGCAGGCATCTGAGATGCTTTTAATAAACTGATCTCAGGGTAAGTAAAGAATTGTAATCATAATTGCATTTTCCCCAAAGTCTCAGAGAAAAGTAAACATTTACAAGTAAAAAAACAGTTTTAATATGTCACTGAGTGGAAATTTAGGCATCCATGCATGTATTCCCAATAGCTTTGCTTTGTGCATCACACAAAATATGGATCAGATCTTGACATAAATCGCAGTCTTTAGAGCAGTCATAGCTTTGATACAGAAATGAAAAAAAATGAAAATTGCTGGATTTAACAAGCAGTTTAAATTTTTACTTAATATACAGTGTATCTTTTAAGAAAAGTAGGAAAAAATCTTCTAGATGTCATAGGAGTATTTTAAAATTTGCTCTGATCCTGCTGCATTTTCTGCCTTTTTTATTTATTTATTTTATTTACTTTGCTTGTATACCGCAATTTCTCAGCCTTGTAGGCGACTCAACGCGGTTTACCTTCTTATTAACCCTATGGTTTGCTTGCAAGTGATACAAATGGTTTTATGGCTTTCTTGGAAATTTGCATTAGGATTTGCATTAGGTTTGGTAATGTTGCTGCTGTCTGTAAACTTAACCAAGACCTTAATTTTAAAAAGCTTAACATTATTGGTCAACAATAAACTTAAATGATTAGATTGACAAAACTATTTATTATAAATATTAATTTGTTCAAAATATCAGTTAATACTTTGAAAGAAGAGTCAGAATCTTGACATTTGAATCTTGAGTACCTCTTAACCATATTATGTTTTAAGGCGCAGATCTTGCCTTTCCAGCGGCAGTCCATGACAACATAGTCTGTAGTAAAACCTTTCAGATTCTCTATAAAAATGAGGAGGTGTCTGTGAATGATGTTATGATCTTCAAAGTTAAAATGCTGCTGGATGAAAGGAAGGTAATACTCTGTTTGCATGTACTTTACTGTTAACGTACTTAAACATTATCAATAGTTTGCTTTTTCAGCTGTGCAGATGGCCATTGAGGTTACCATTAGTAGAGCAAACATGGCATAGTTATAATCTTGTCCTCTTCCCCAAAAATGGTTTGCATCCCTATAATACAGAGTTCTTCAAAATGATGGATCCAATTTCAAAGCAATATATTTCATTGTGTTGTTGAAGGCTTTCATAGCCACAATCACTGGGTTGCTATGAGTTTTCCGGGCTGTGTGGCCATGTTCCAGAAGCATTCTCTCCTGATGCTTCATCCACATGGATGGTAGGCATCCTCAGAGGTTGTGAGGTCTGTTAGAAACAAGGCAAGTGAGGTTTATATATCTGTGGAATGTCCAGGGTGGGGCAAAGAATTCTTGTCTGCTAAAGGTACGTGTGAATGTTGCAGTTGGCCACTTTGATTATCATTTAATGGACTTACAGCTTCAAAGCTTGGCTGGTTTCTGCTTAGAAGGATCCTTTGTTGGGAGGTGTTAGCTGGCCCTGATTGATTCCTATCTGGAATTCCCCAGATTTTTCAATGTTGGTTTTTATTTCCTGTCCTGATTTTAGAGTTTTTTTAAATACTGGTATCCAGATTTTGTTCATTTTCATGGTTTCCTCTTTTCTGTTGAAATGACTTATCAAGCTAAACAAATCTAAAAATACCTCCTCATTGGAGGGAAGGATATGAGAGGCAAAGATGAAGTATTTTGGCCAAAGCTTTTCATACAGGGACATGAGAGAAGCCCCCACAGGATGATAAAACATCTCATGTCCCTGTATGAAAAGCTCCAGCTTTTCATACAGGGACACGAGAGAAGCAATCCCCTGGGCAATGTCCTTGCATATGGCCAATTATCTCACACCAGAAGCAACTTGGAGTTTCTCAAGTCGCTCCTGACATGAAAAAAGGTATATAAAATAGGTATGAAAATCAAATGTTTTCTGATAACAAATCAGCAAGGCTTGCAAAACAAGCTGATTTTCCTTTTTATGAAGTACAGCTGAAGCAATTTCTACAGAGTCCACCATAAACATCACACGTTTTTCCTAACAGATTTGTGTACATGTCTCAGTGGTGTCAGAAACCTTTAACTTTTCCCAATTTTTCCATGACCCGAACATTGAGCTAAGGGGACTCCATTTGGGGTCGGGATCCACAGTTTAACAAGCAGTAACCTAAAACAGTGTGTCTTTTAACTCACAATTTACTGAAGGAAAGAGATTAAGGAATGATCTTATCGCCATCCAGCAGAGGTAGGAGTACAGCATTTAATATAAGCCCTTTGTGATAGGATCTGCAAGCAGAAATAGGTACCAATGCAGGTTGTATCTCAAATAAAATATAGGATTCTTTTATATTCACATACATTTTGTATTCTACTAGAGGACATGGAAGAATATTGCTATTTATTGCTGTGTCTGCTATTTTGTTCATTTTTATCATAGCATACTGTATTTCGAGCTATTGTGAACAGTCAAAGCATAGAGCAGAAATGAAAAGCAGTATGCAAGCTTTATGTTAGTAAATAAGTCAAACATAGAATAAGTCAAAGGTAGGATTGTACAATAAGAGTGTTTGAAATACTGCTTGTCTTTTTCAACCTGTTTCCTAGATTGAAGAATCTCTTAATGAAATGAGCTTCCTGCTTTCTTTAGATCTACACTTTACAGATACAGATTATTCGTAAGTTCAAAATTCAATCCTGTTTTATTGTTTGAATATTGTCGACTTTCTTCAAAAAGGGTGTTTTTCATTCAGGGTTCTGTATGTGCCAGTTTTTGCAAGGAATTTCTTGTTTGCTTCAGTCTAAGTGGAGAGTACCACATACTGAACCCCATTGTCTTTTTGTGTTGCCCCTAAGTGGGAAAGTCTGTGAGTGTGAATTTTTGAAATCCTTGTATTTATTGCCTGCAAAACAACCCCAGGGTTGGATTGTAACACAATAATACAGACGTTATAAAAGTTATTGGAGTTATTGAAAATTAATGTGTACATAAGAAGTAACTTTATGCAGGATTATCCAGGCATGGGAGCCCCCGGTGGTGCAATGGGACAGGACTGTTGACCAAAAGCTCAGTGGTTCAAATCTGGAGAGCGGGGTGAGCTCCCATCAGTCACCTCTAACTTCCCATGTGGGGATGTGAGTTATCTCACACCAGAAGTGACTTGCAGTTTCTTAAGTCACGCCTGACACACACACACCCAGGCGTGAATCACTGATATTTTGAACATTTTTATGTTTTATATTTGTCACTGTAATTTCTCTCCTTTTTCTAATCCCATGTGTATTCACTCGGGGCATTTCCATGAATATAAATTCTCTTGATTTCACAGATGTTAGCACATCTTTTGCATACCTATAGGAGATTCCAGATGTTTTTAGTGGCTGGAACTCCACTATTTCTTTCACAGCCCTGTGCATCAAACAGATTATTAATTCTGGATGAGTATGTTTCATACATATAAGTAATTGCACAGTGCAGCCTCCGGTGGTGCAATGGGTTAAAACCTTGTGTCAGCAGGACTGAAGACTGACAGGTCAGAGGTTTGAATCCGGAGAGAGCATGAATGAGCTTCCTCTGTCAGCTCCAGTTCCCCCATGTGGGCACATGAGAGAAGCCTCCCATAAGGATGGTAAAACATCAAAACATCTGGGCATTCCTTTGGCAACATCCTTTCAGACGGCCAATTTTCTCACACCTGAAGCGACTTACAGTTTCTCAAATTGCTCCTGACACGAAAAATAAAACTGCACAGTGTAAAAGTAGTGGTTTGTGTTTAAGTGTCTTTAATTGTTGTATTACTTTCAAAATTGCCTTTGTAATGGTACTCTTGTTCTTTTAGGCCAGAGGATCTGAACACACTGCAGCTAATTAGCAGCCGAACACTAAAGTTGCACTTTACCTTACAACGAGGCCTTCATCACTATGTCAATGTCATGTTTGACTACTTTCACCTCTCTGTCGTTTCTGTTATAATCCATGCCTCCTTAGTTGCTCTTCACCAACCATTGATAAGGTAATTGTTTTGTACTATTTTTCTTAGAATTAGCTTGAAGATGAAATTTCTTCTTTCAGGAACACAGTCCCTTTAGCCCCATAACATGGGGGTTTGTTCTTCTTTACAATTCTTATCTTAAAAATGGGGTGGAGGCGGTTGGACGAGCTCAGCCGAGCCCGATCCTGTAGAGCAGCCCGCTCCCCTTTTGGTGCTCTCAGATCCTTCGATTCCCCCTTAATAGGGGGGGGGGCTTGGGGTCTTCAAAGCACCCAGGGGATTTACGATCACCTTCGCCTTCGATCCGGTCAAAGGTGGGGAGCTATAGCTCGACCTCGCCACTCAAAACAGGTCCTCCCTGAGAGAGCTTTCCCTCAGCGAGGCTTCCCCGTCGCCATTCCCACTGGAAGTCCTTCATATTGATAAGGTAATTGTTTTGTACTATTTTTCTTAGAATTAGTAACGTGATGAAATGTAATTCATTTTTACTACTTGTTTGTTTGATTTCTCTTTAAACAATAGTTATTTAGTTATAATAGGAATACTAGAATTGTATTTTGTAGCGGCAGTACTGAAATGACTATGTCTACATACAGCCAGAGTTTGCAAGAATTGAGCAGGAACATTATGAATAGGATCTTTTGGCGGTTTCCTTTTCGTTGAGTTGCTATTAATTGAAGTTGACTCAACAGCACATAACAGTAATGGGTTTTTATGAGGAACAGGTTGCCTTTTTCATTTGGGCTAGAATGCATGGCAAATGAGCCAAAAAGTGCTTCGCTGTCACCTGTTCAAGTCCAGCAAAAGCACAACCTTCAAGTTTAGCTGCCAAAAAAAAGGCTTTCGTGTTTCAATTAATTTCTGTTTTTATATAGAGCTCTGGTCTTTAACCTTTCAAATACATGGAGGAATGCATGTACATGATTAGGCTATTGGCATATATCATAACAATAATAGAGGGAGATGGTGCATGCATATATATATATATATATGTGTGTGTGTGTGTGTACAGAAGTTAATTGTAAATGATATGACTATAACTGTATTGATTGTAAATGATATGATTATAACTGTATTTGTTTGCACTGGTTGCCCTAATGCTGGAGCGGCCTAGCTGTGAGGAGTGTGTTACCATGGAAACGATGCTGTAGAGAAGTGGGAGGAGCTTAGAGAGGAGAGTTTTGAAAAGCGACAGTTAAAGTCAGTTGGGGGTTTAGGCTCAGAGGAATGAAGAGTCAGGTTTTAGGCTCAGGGAAATGAAGTGTTGAGAGAGAGAGTGGGAAGTAGAGAAGCAGTGTTTGTGAATAGTCAGAGGTTTCTTCAGTTTAGGAAGGCTGAAGGGGAAACCTTATTAGTTTCATTAGTTAGAGAAGACTAATAGAAGCTTGTTTAGATCACTAGTTAAAAGTGAACTAGAGATCTGAGGTTTGATCACGGAAGGATCAAACAGGAAGACTATTCACCTCAGGAACCACTGTTTAATAAAGTGCTTCACCACAGCAAAAGTTATTGATAAGTTGTAACATCAGAAGTCTGTACTGTATCGCAACCAAGTTATATGTAACGTTTTCCAAGCATTTTCCAAGTTTATCACCAAACTGCAATCATACGCTTTGTTTCAAAATAAACTTGTTCTCTTTGATTTTAAGACTGCCTCATCTCCATTAATTTTGCGTTCAGTGTGCCCAATCTCCCAAAATTACCTCACATCACAAATTGGTGGCACCATTAAGGATAATAAATAATAAATCGTAACTTCTCTCTCCTGAAACCCCTTTTCTTTGAATTGGGGCAAGCAGCCCTTTGCAGTGTGTATACACACACACACACACACCATACATACTCAAGTATAAGCTGAGTTTTTCAGCCCCTTTTTTAGGCTGAAAAAGCCCCCCTCGGTTTATATTCGAGTCAAAGTTATTTATTATTTTACTCTGTTGTTGTTGTTGTTGTTGTTGTTGTTGTTGCATTTATTATTTTACTCTATTATTACTATTATTATTTCATTTCCATTCTTTTACTCTATTATTATTATTTTATTACATTTATTGCTTTTCTCTATTATTATTGGAAGGATACATAAGCACATTTACATTGAAGAAGTTTATAATAATGGTTTAATCAGAGTTGAACAGAGTTATCTTAAATTGCAGTTAATGTAAATATTCAAAAACACTTAACCTACTGATGCCTCAATTGGTATCTATTTTATTTGGAAATTTACCAGTAGCTGCTGCATTTCCCACCCTCAACTTATACTCGAGTCCATACGTTTTCCCAGTTTTTTGTGGTAAGATTAGGTGCCTTGGCTTATATTCAGGTCAGCTTATACTCGAGTATATATGGGTATGTGAAATCATAAGTTGTATATGTACTCTAATCATATGTTCCTGCACCATCTCTCACACACCTGGAATTGTTTGTTTGACTATTTGCAAGTCCAGTGGCCATAGCTGCCTCTAGTCACTGCTGTCCTAACTATTTGACCCATTCTCTTTTATCACCCAGGAACAGCAAAATTTAAATAGCAAATTTGGGACAAAGGGAGTGCACTACACCTTTATTATGTCTGGCAGATTTCAGATAGTCTTAGATTACGTAAATTTTTCTTGTATTAACAAAGCATAATTCAAAAGAAGCCCAACTTTGCAACAGAAAAGCAGAGGGAAGGTGTTCCACAGTTTTGTAATGCTAGTGAGACATGATTCCATTACTTAATTTGCATCTCTAGACCTTAGAATGTTCTAAAAATGGTCCCTTTAACTACACTATTTAAAAGGTATACACTTTATATCTATAAACTAAATTAAATCTCTTCCCACATGTGCTACAATCATTCTTTTATTTATATTTAAGTACCATAGTATTTCATCAGATTTAGATGTTAGAGCAGTGGTTCTCAATCTGTGGGTCCCCAGTTGTTTTGGCCTGCAACTCCCAGAAATCCCAGCCAATTTACGAGCTGTTAGGATTTATGGGAGTTGAAGGCCAAAACATCTAGGGACTCACATGTGGAGAACCATTATGTTAGAAGGTTTTTTTTAATGGTGAATTTATTTTTACTGGTTGCATTGAAGGGATATTACTATTCTGTTGAGTCACTAACCTTTTCCAAGGAAGCCAATTGCTTAGACTGTATTAAAGCAGCACCTGAGCCCCCGGTGGCACTATGGGTTAAACCCTTGTACCGGCTGAACTGGTTGGCGGAAAGTTTGTTAGTTCGAATCCGGAGAATGGGATAAGCTCTCATCTGTCGAGCTCTAGCTCCCCATGTGGGGACATGAGAGAAGCCTCCTACGGGGTGGTAAAACATCTTGGGGGGGGGGGCTGGGCAATGCCCTTGCAGACAGCCAATTCTCTCACACCAGAAGTGACTTGCAGTTTCTCATGTTGCTCTTCACACACACACACACACACACACAAAGAGCAGCACCAACATAAATAGTGAAGTGTTTAAAATTCTATATTATATGAAAGATAAAGTAATGGCTGGTATCTAAAGAGGTAGTAACGAGATTGGCTAAATGCCAGAATTTGGAGTTGGAGAAGAGGACAATAAATGGAACTTCATTAAAGCAACATATCTTCCACCATTCTTCCCACTCTTCTGAGAAATAAGAGATTTTCTGGAAGTGGAGTACAACAGGAAGAGGAAATCAGGGGAATTTGGTAGAGTTCATTTATGTGAACTGAGTTTCCTTTTCTCTTACACTTACTTGATATAATCCATAGATTGGCTGGCACCCACACCTTGCCATTTCACCAAATGCTTTTGAAAGCTCTATTAGTTTCAAAAATACCTGGGCCTCAGGAGCTACTGCTTTGAAAAGTGCTTCTCAAAACTAGTTGCACATTTATTTGCGTTCCAGACACCAACATTTTCTTCTTCTTCCATCTAAAGTCCATATAGCTTGTCCGAAACTTAGAAGTTCAAATTGAGTGTATCCCTGGGTACAGAATCCACAAAACAGAGAGCCGAGATTATGATTTCATTATGTGATATTTGGCTCCTTGCCTTTATCACTCTAGTTCTCCTTTTACTTCTGTTCCAAAGCTTTAACTTTGTTCTCGTTTGTTTACAGCTTTCCTCGCCCAATCAAGAATACATGGCTAAACAGAAATGCACCAGCACAAAATAGGGATTCTGTGATTCCTTCTCTTGAAAGTGTTGTCTTTGGCAACAATTACTCCAAACAATTATCAGCTGATGTAAGATTGTAATCATTTTGTCTTTTTAATATTTTGAGTGGGCTGAAAGGAATAAATCTTTCTGTTACCTGAGATGCAAAAAATGTATTGCAGTACAATCACACAGAACAAATGCTTTCTGTGAAGAGTGCATTACATTTAACAGATGGTCTGGTTAAAGTAGTGAGAGTGGGAATGTATCTGATCCATGTTTACCTTAGTAGGCCTATGGTGGGCAACACTGCCCTACATTAATTTAAAATGATGTTAGGAAGTGACAGTAAATTTACTTGCAATTTGGGGACATGTGGAATTTGGAAAGGCTTGTTAAATCTGCCATTTTTTAATGTCTCATGAAGTTTTAATTCACAATTTTGTGCATTTTCATTAAAAGAAACCAGTTGCTGTTGTGGGTTTGGGGTGGGCATACAGCTGAAGTACAAAAAGGGGGTAGTTGGGCCTTATGCCGACCCTAGGACACACATTGTTTTGTGTGTGTATGTGTGTGTGTAGAGCACCCACAATTTGTTAAATTAAGTAACTATACTCAGAAGTAAGTCCTATATTCAGTGAAAAAAACTCAGTACTGAGAAAGTGTATATTAAGTGACTGCCAATTTTGGTCCATAACAAGGTCCAGCTTGCATATAGTACGTTATCACCTCCAACAGTGCTTTATGGCTGCAGCTCCGGACACCTTCCAAAATTCACGAGGGATTTTATGAGTTAACTGAAGCTGTGTATGGACATGGATCCCTATTTGTGTTAACTTGAAGTCCTGATGATTATTCATATTCTGTTTTTCATTTTGATGTTAATTCTTTTTTGTTATAAGTTTACGGTTATTTTCTTGTATTATTTGTATTGTTCTGAGTTGTTTATATTCGCTAAAGACATTGAATGTTTGCCTTTTTTTTGTATTGTCGAAGGCTCTCATGTCCAGAATCACTGGGTTGTTGTAAGTTTTTCGGGCTCTGTGGCCATGTTTCAGAAGCATTCTCTCCTGATGTTTTGCCTGCATCTATGGCAGGCATCCTAGAGGTTGTGAGACCTCACAACCTCTGAGGATGCCTGCCATAGATGCAGGCGAAACGTCAGGAGAAAATGCTTCTGGAACATGGCCATACAGCCCAAAAAGCTTACAAGAACCAATTTGCCTTTTTTATGTGTAAACTCCCCTGAGTTCCCTCAGGGAGAGAGGAAGGTCTATAAATATTATTTATTTATTTATTTATGTATTTTAATGGCATCTGGTGTAGCTACTACTGCTGACTCCATAACTGTACAAATTGTTTCCAGGGCAGCACCTTTATAATAGCAGAGCCTTTTTTGAATCACGCTTACAATCTCCACCAAACACTTTGTGCCAGTTTGCTGCTTGCGTTCAAAGGATTACACAGCTATTTCACTACTTTATCAAAAGAGCTGCCTACATCTCTGAAATTAGATGCAGGTATGTGAAATGAACACTTTCCTTTGCTTTTGTCTCTTGGTGACTCCTTTATACTACTCTTTCTCTAAGGCATTTCTTAACTATTAGGTATATCTCTGTTATGGTTAACACAGCATAAAACGCTACCCACAAAAGTAGAAAGTCATTTTCTCCTTGTACTTCTTGACTTGGATTTACCTCCTTTGTTGACTCTTCTTTATTAAAAAAAACTTAGATGCATAATTTGTCTAATTGAGACTAGGATTTAAAGATGTTGAAAAGGACAGTTGTAAATGTATGTCATGTTTATCATATAGCAGCTCTCAACTATAAAACATTATCCTATCAACTGTTGAAAGGCATTGGGGGTGAATCCAAAGTTTAAGATGTAAAAGATAAGATATTTTAAAGCCTGGCCATTATTTCCATGTTTAAAAGCTGATAAATCCTACATTTATTCATTTTTTTGGTCAGGGAAATGGTGACATGGTATGTCCCGTTAATCCAACAAAACCTTATAGCTTCACACACTTGAAGCCACATTTAGTTGTAGAGTTTCTTAGGGGAAAAAAAATCTGCAATAGTCATTGTAGAAATTGGTTTCGACAAAAAAAAAACCCTTCTTTCCAATGTTAGAAGCAAAACCAGTTAGACCTCCATAACAGAACTATTGATTGTCCCTTTTCCCTTTTAATCCCCACCCCACATTCAAAAGACTATAGAAAAGTTGCTTTTTAAATGTGATGATGAAAAATAGGTTGGTTCAGTATAGCACTGGAGAAACATGAGAAACATGCCGCAAAATAGAAACATGAAACACACCTGTGGTATCTCACATGTGTCTAAGTAATTGCTTTAGATTAGATCTGTGTCGTGAACATTAATAAGAATAACAAATCTATAATGCCATCAGAAGGCTGTTGACTTCTTATTCTGAACAGGCCAATCATAAACTAAATGCAAAGCCTGGATTGTAATCCTAGATTAGTTTTCAAATCCTGATTAGTTGAGCTGGTTATGCCAGAGGGAGGAGTGAAGCATATGTATACCATCTGCATGGAGAAGCATAATATTTGTTCATAGTAAGCCAAGATTCCCCAGAAACTTGGTTTACTACAGCTTGCAAACATAGCCAGTATCTGTACCTTGGTTTATTACATCTGAAAAGTAGGTTTCTCTAATACATGGTTTAAACAGAGTAAGAAATGACAGCATAAATGATGCTACATATGCATTGCTTACTAGTATGCAAACCATAACATTGCTGCTTCCATGTAATGGACTGCAGCTGCCATCTACCCTAGACAGCATAACTAATGGTTAGAAACAGTGGACCTCAAGTTTATACCAAATTGTGCATCTTTGTAATGCACTCGTTCTCAGCCTGTGGGTCCCCAGGTGTTTGGGCCTACAAATCTCAGAAATCCCAGCCAGTTTACCAGCTGTTGGGATTTCTAGAAGGCCAAAACATCTGGGGACCCACAGGTTGAGAACCACTTTTTTAATGTGTATGATGCCACTTTGCTGGCTGTGCTATTTTGACCCTTGAATATTAAACCTGATTTCTATCATCTTCTGGAATACAACCTTGCATTCTGAACCCTTGTACTGATGTATCTAGATTTAGATTTTTTTTTTGTAGTTCTGACCAAGGCTTCATCTATACTGTAGAATTAATGCAATTTTATACCACTTTAATCACCCTAGCTTTGCTTTCTGAGAGTTGTAGTTTGGGGAGGCACCAGCACTCTTAGGCGAAGAAGGCTTGTAAAATTACAACTCCCAAGATTCCATAGCATTGAGCCATGGCAGTTAAAGTGGTGTAAAACTGCATTAATTCTGCTGTGCAGATGTAGCCTAAGACTGTCCGCAGTGTATGTGAAAACTTACGTTCCCTTCTCCATCCCTCTTCACATCTCAGAAACTTGCTGGGAGATGGGGGTCCCAGCCCCCTGGAGTGGCTTTAGGGTTGCACGGGCGACTGTGGTGCAGATGGGATAATGCCCCCCCTTCCCAGTTCAGTTAATGGAAATAATTTCACCAATAAATATATCCTGTTTGGGCATGACCCAACCCTCTAAAATTTATTTTCTTCTTCCATTTCTTAAACTACAATTTATGTAACCATTCTTCGCTTATAAAAATATGCCCACTATGCAGCCATGAAATATCTTTCTAATACTGACATATAAAGCAAGCTGTTCTCCTTAATGTCATTAATATTTTTCCATTATATATGTGCATTTCAGTAATATCTCACAAAAATACTGAAATGATGCTATTCTGTTCTCATCAAGTAGTGCATCAATCCCAGAAGTTAGTAAGGCTCTACCCTGTTGTAAAAAGTAATTTCAACCTATAAAAGAAATAGTTTTCTATATATTATGCTTCTGTTTGCTGACATTTTCTGTATTTAACATTTTATTTCTGATTTTTTAAAAAACAATCAGTTCAATATTTTAATTTGGCCTTTTGCTAACTTCATATACACCTGGCTGCTAAGTTCTAATATTGCTGTCATCAACCTAAACAAATCTTATTTCTAATTACAGTGGGTGTAATTCAGTGAACACTATACTATGTATGTGTAAAAAGGCTGGATGAAGTCACTAAGGCCTGGTTACATGCAACAGAATGCGCAGTTGCATTCACTGAAAAATAGTGTTCTTTGACTTGTATAATCTATCTAGAATTTTTTATCTTGAAAAAAGTTGCAAAATATTGAGAATCAAGTGGGGTTTTGTGGAAAACTGATCCTGAAATCACATTTAAGCTTCAGAAAAGCATTGCTTTCTCTCACCCTTTTGATTGCTTGCATTATCTGCTTTCACTTTTGCCTTCTATTTATTTAGCTTTCTGATGTACATTTTTTTATTTCAAAATTGGCTTTTTATATATTTATATATATAAAAAGAATGCCATGTAAATATGCTTCACACTATTTTAATAGCAGAAATGGTTAGCATTTGGGCAATCTGATTTAACAAGTAAACAAAAATTACACCATTTGAAAAAAAATCTAATTTTTAAAAAACATAATGTACATCACCAACACCTTCTCTAGACTTTAGACTTTACTAAATTCTATTCTTTAATTGTTCTTCTTTAATTTCACTAATTACTAGGTGAGTGATAAACTTTCTTACTAATTTTAAGACTAATAATAATAGTAAGCACAAATGAAAAAAAGAGTGTAGTAACTAGTCGTGTGTACAATCCTTATAACTAGCGAAGCCCAGCATGCAGGTCCTTTATGAACGCCTTCTCAGAAGAAAATACCACCGAATCCAGGGGAACGCCTATCTAGGTATGTTTTTTTATAAGTGGGTTATCTTTATAACCCATTAGGGTTGTATAATAATAAAAATCATCTCTTTTTGTTGTTTGTGGAGGTTACCTCTTATTTTGTGTTTAGACAGGAGCAAGGAGCCTAAAGGTATCCAACCCAACAATTTCCTTTCAAGGCTCTTTGTAGTTCTTTCTGACCTTTCAGTGTTGATGAAATCCATTCATTTTGTGGCTAGTTCAATTTCTATTTACCATATATACTCGAGTATAAGCCGGGTTTTTCAACCCCTTTTTTAGGCTGAAAAAGCCCCTCTCAGCTTATACTCGAGTCAAAGTTATTTATCATTTTACTCTGTTATTATTATTATTACATTTATTATTTTAGTCTTATTTATTATTATTATTATTGTTATTATTATTATTATTATTATTACATTTACATTATTTTACTCTATTATTATTATTATTACATTTACATTATTTTACTCTATTATTATGATTTTATTATTTTACTCTATTATTATTTTACTCTATTTTACTCTATTATTCATTTACATCGAAGCAGGTTAAAATAATAGTTTAATCAGAGTTGGACAGTCTTATCTTAAATTATAGTTTTATGTAAATATTCAGAAACATTAAATCAAATGATGCCTCAATTAATGCAAATTTATTGGTGTCTATTTTTAGTTTGAAATTTACCAGTGGCTGCTGCATTTCCTACCCATCTGCTTATACTTGAGTCAATATATTTCCCCAGTTTTTGTGGCAAAATTAGGTGCCTTGGCTTCTATTCGGTTCGGCTTATACTCGAGTATATATAGTATTTGAAATCCAGAAATTGCTGTAAACTGTAAATAATGAGATAAAATTATACCATAGACTTAAAATCTTAAGTTCGAATGTCCAGTAAGTTGGATCCAAACTTCCCATTCCTAGACTTCTACTAATAGGATGTGACCACATAAAGGGAGGGAGGAGATTTTTTTTCATTATCAGTCCTTCCTTTAGGATCCCGTATTTCCCATGAACAACCTCAGGGAGATTGTAAGATACTCTAGAAGAGGATGAGATTTGACACTTGGAATTGTAGAGAGAAGGAATAAATAGCATAAAGTGCCTTTTCCTTCCTGCGTCAGTTGCTGACTTCATTTCTTGAAGGAGAAGTCCTGTTGCATGTTTAGATTCATCACAGTATTTTAAGAAGTCTTGTGAGAAGGACACTTTTGGAGTGCTCTGTTGAACTCACATATTGCCATTATTTTTTCTGAATGAACAGTACCCTGCTGGTACCTTTTGAATTCCTTGATAAACAAGACGAAATGATAAAGGTTGTAGTAGACCAAGACTCGTATTGTGAATGTGGCTGCCTTTTCGAACATGATTTTTCCTGGCTTAGATAGAAGGATCGCCATAGAGCCCATTGGGGAATGTTTTGGCCTTCACTCCAAATGGAAGGCTCCTGTGCTTCCTATTTTCTTTATCTTGCTCTCCTTCTCGAGTCCAAAGCTCTGTTGGGCCTTATGGCAGTCCCTCTGTTCAGCTGGATTCATTGCCAGCTCAGCTTGTGCCCACCAGTGTGATTAAAGACCATTGATTTCTTCAACAAAGAAAGCATTACTACATGACTGTTAAGGATACATAATTTATTTTTATTCTGATGGGAATTGAACATTTTCTTCCAGGATATCAACTTTTGATTAATACATTTCCTAAGTTGGGTGTGAAACCACTTGCTTGCTACATTTTGACTTATAGGTATAAGTAACTGAAAGCATATACAGTTATGAAAAACCCCTCCCAAAAAAGTATTAGTTGGTCCCCGCCCACCCACCCCCCATGTTGCATCTAAAATGTGTATCTAAGTTTAATATAACTTACTTGAACATTTTCTATCTAACACATTGTTCCTGCTTTTGAAATGTATCATTAGAATTGAGGTGGAAAAGGAAGTTCAGGTTGGAACAGTTACCCTATCAAGGGTTTCTTTTTTTCGTGTCAGGAGCGACTTGAGAAACTGCAAGTCGCTTCTGGTGTGAGAGAATTGGCTGTGTGCAAGGACGTTGCCCAGGGGACGCCTGGATGTTTTACCATCCTGTGGGAGGCTTCTCTCATTTCCCCCCATGAGAAGCTGGAGCTGACAGGAGCTCACTCTCCTCCCCAGATTTGGACTGTCAACCTTTCAGTCAGCAGTCCTGCCGGCACCCATTGCAGCACCGAGGGCTCCTCCCATCAAGGGGTGACTGCTTGCTAATATGTAGGTCTGTAGGTCTTCCATGCTTGCTAATCTGACACTATCCTACTTTGAATTCAGCCCCCATGCTTATGGACGTCACTATCTTAAAAGGATATATGTATCCATAAAGAAGAAAGGTTACATAGGGAAGGCATATCGTCTTCAGTATGGATGGCAGAGTGACCATTTTGGACCCAAAGAAACGTTAATTACTATTGCCTTTAAAAAACACACAAAATTATCTTTCCATCCTGATTTCCATACTACTACTGGCAGTACCCAAGTTACAAATATCAGACTTATAAACGACTTATGGTTAAGAATAGGTATGCCTTGGACCGCAAGATCCAATCAGTCCATCCTCCAGGAAATAATGCCCGGCTGCTCACTGGAGGGAAGGATATTAGAGGCAAAGATGAAGTGCTTTAGCCGCATAATGAGAAGACAGGAAAGCTTAGAGAAGACAATTATGCTGGGGGAAAATGGAAGGAAAAAGGAAGAGGGGCCAACCAAGGGCAAAGGTGGATGAATGATGTCCTTGAAGTGACTGGCTTCACCTTGAAGTAGCTGGGTGTGGCCACGGCCGACAGGGAGCTCTGGCATGGGCTAGTGTATGAGGTCACGAAGAATCGGAAGTGACTGAGCAAATAAACAACAAAACTGAATCTTTATCACCAATCCCTGTTTCCACAGCAAGCCACATTTTCCAAAATCTGATTATCACAGGGACAGAAAAAGAGGTGATATATATATATATATAGCTGGAGTTACATTTAAAAAAGTTTCTGTTCTGACTTACATACAAATTCAACTTAAGAACAAACCTACATAATCTATCCTGTTTGTTACTTAGGTACAGCTTGTACTTTAAGAAAATCAGTATAATATAAAAAAAATCCTGGCATTAGGTTAGTTGATAGTCGTTTGCATATATATCTATATAACAACCTGTTTTTCAAAATTACCTACTGTCTTGCAAAAAATTAGGAATTTCCGCATTTACTCTGAAGATAACACAGAAAACCATACATTCTTCATACCTTTTCTGGTAAATCAGAGAAGCAATTTAGTAAAGGACAGTTCAACTTGTTTGGGAACATAAAAGGAGACTTAGATAAACCTAACTTAGTTTAAGTTTATTTCCTTTTGAGTCTAGTTAAATCCCAATGTGTGGTAAGAGCTTCAGTTATTTTCTTCTTACAATACCTACACGTAGAAGGACATCTCAAAATTTTCAACATCTTTTGAATTTTAAATATAAACTCTTAAAAATTATTTCCGGTGTGAAGATTTGCACGGCAAGCTGCAGATGGTCTAACACGCTTGAGTGTTCGGTCTTAATAAAACTTCGTAATGTCTTGCAAACTTTCTAATATTTGATTTAGAGATCTCAGGAACGTCACACGGGCAATATTCATAACAGTATATGAATGGAAGCAAAAGTGAGGCCTTGCTTTAAAAAAATGATTGTGATCTTTGCTGAAATCTTTTAGTGGCTTTCACAATGACTATGATAATTAAGAAATAATACTTGTTTTTAAACTGATCTGGTTGAATGGGGTCTTGCTTTGTCTTGTACAAAATGTAGTTTACAATACAGAAATATTAATTTAATTGCAATCTAATCTTTTTAGAAAACATAGATGTAGATGTAGAAGCACGCCTATCAGAACTCTGTGAAGAAATAAAGGTATTTTTCTTAATCTTCCTAAGTGTTACATTACTGTGTTTCCCCCCATCCCTAGTTAGCAGTTGTTTAAGAGCTGACCCCTTTGTGGTTTAAATAATTCTTTTTTTATTATTTGGCGTTTTATCTCTTTGTGGATGGTTATATTTAAGTAGACAGAGAGCTGGGAACATTATTCTGGGAGAGGAAATACTGGCAGTTTCGCTCTTCATTGCTGCGCCATTATACATTTCACAACATTATAATGAGTCCTTGTGCAGTAGCACAAGAAAAAGAAATCTAATCTTTGGATTCCTTAAAGCTAAGGAAGGAGATCAAGAGAGTATTACTATAGCACTCTTGTGCTGCAGAGTGCTGCAGGTCTTTTGAGAGCCCTTGAGAAAATTACATCATTGGCAATTCTGTGAGACGACAAGATAAGATGTATGTGTCTCATGTGGTTTGTATTTTGTTTTTCAAAAAGAGATGGGTGTCAGCCCACAAGAAGTATCATATAAAATCCCTTTTCATTCCTGGAGAGCAGCACATTTGGGACACTTATTACTCAGAGTGGAAGAGGACTAGCAGTAGCAATCATTGCTGCCAAAACAAACAAATAAATCAACCCTGATACTGGGATTTCCAACTTTCTACATAGTCTCTTTACCACACTCATCCAAACAGTAATCATAAGACAAGAAAACAAGCCTTCTTGTAGTTTGAGCTGGTTAAAAGTACATTTCAAAGTGAAATGGTGTGTTATCACAGTTTTTTTCAGTGATATTTATTAATAACTTACCTGGAGATAAGCATAACTGGTATGAAGGCCTGATAGAAAATGAAATACAAATTATGATTTCATTCCCAAAGTCTTGTCTGCCCCCCCCCCACCGCCTGTACATATTAAATAAAAATGTATTTTGTTATATTTTCTTCTATAAAATTATGAGTGGCATGTTGTTCATACATTCAGAATAAAGGTAAAGGCCACAATTAGCCTCCAGAATTCATTGCTGCAGCATGTTATGAGCAATATAGACACTACTAAGGTTAAAGGGGGAAATAGGCGGATTGGAAGATACATTCATCAGTGGCTTAATAGCTTAAAGCTAAATGGAATCAGATTTAAAGGGCATTATGATTGCCAAAAGGTGATATTGACTCTATAGGAAAGATTCTTGGACTAAATGAACCTTGGTCTCATGTAGAGGTTGATTTTTTAATTAAGAGTTTGCCATAAGCTCTGATGTTCTAAAATTTAAATACAGTTTTGCATTAAAAATTAATTGCCCTTGATTAAAAAATGTCAAAAAAATTAGGGATTCAGAAAGTTTTAGAACCTATACTTGTAAAAATACAGGTTTTCTTGGGTTTTTTTCTCATGTAGAAAATGGAAAATCCTGATGAACTGGCAGAACTTATAAATATGAACCTTGCTCAGCTTTGTTCACTTCTGATGGCTTTATGGGGACAATTTCTCGAAGCTATTCACTTCCAAGATGACATCATTGCATTGCTAGCACAAGAACATCACACAGTCCGTGTACGTATTCTACTTGTCTTGATGTGGGTTATCCAGGTTCTATTGTAATAAAGCTACTTTCTTAAACTACATATTAAATTTAGCTCTTAAAACTAAGTTATCTTAGTTACATTCCTAGCTTATGAACTGAGCTGTAAATTGCTCTGTGGATAATTGGGTAATGGTGGTTCGAATTCATTCCTCTTCTTGAATTCCTTTTCCTTCAAAACAATTATATGGAATGCAAAAGAAAAAACCCCAAAACAAAACTCAAACATGTAATGCACCTCTCCCCACCCCCACAAAACCCTTTCCACTCCAGAACAAATTGTGGGTCTAAACGTTACAGCTGGATCCCCTTCCTCAAGGTGAATCCCAGTGGTACATGAGTCATACGATTAGACTGAGGAGCCCACAGCAATTTAAAGTTTCGATACAGACTGTTTAGAATGAAGCACTGCCCAATTAACCTAAATTGCCATAAAAGCAAGCAGGATGGAAGGGTAGTGAATTAGCTTGACATCGTGTTGATAAGGTAATAGGAAAGCTAGATTGTTGTAAATTAAACTGTAAAGATTGGAGTCTGGAGAGTAAAATTCGAAGGTACGTATAAATTATCACATAAACACACAGAGATAATTTTGTTTTTAACCTTTCCTGTGATAACCATGACAAAATAAAACACAATTGGATATAAAACAGATTTAATAGGAGAGGATGGCTGTGAAAATGAGTCCGGCAACTGAAAGTAGCCACAACCAGTTCTTTCTGCCTGACATTTTCCATGGGAAAGAGTTTGTGTAGCTTTTCCTCTGGTGAAATGCAAGCATTGTCTTGTTGTAGCGTTCTGCCTAAAGTGGACCTTGTGCCTTTGACGAGTGGTGGGAATTGTTTGGCCCTTCAGATGTTGTTGAACTGCAGCTCTCTGCAAAATTCATCATGGAGTTGCAGTCCACTAACATTTGAAGGGACAGACAATTCCTATCATTGTTTCTTGGAATACTCCCTTCTCCTCTTTTCTCTGGTCCAGCTCTTTTCACTAGAAAGGATGGCAATGAGCTAGGCATGTGTACGTCAGTTGTTTAGCTGTACATGCTGGTTACAGGTTCTTCAACTATGATCCAGTGTTTTTTGGATAGGTGTACCATCAGTTCCCTTAAGACAAGATGGCTTACGCAGAGAACAAATGATCTCTTATTGAACTTGGGTAGGAATAGATTCCCTATGCCCACAATTGGTGCCTTTTTGTTAGCATAGAGGAATTGCATGGGCAAAGAATTCATAGCTAGTAGGCTTGTGCATTTTGGTTGAACTGCGATCCGTTTCTGCTATCTGAATTTTATCCGACCTGCAGATCCACTTTCATGGACCTCCCGAAAATGGGTGACCATTTTCCAAAAAAGCCATTTTTGGTCTGCAGCTGAAAAATGCAGCAAGATCCGACCCATTGACAGCAATTGGGGGGGGGGGCTGCATAGGCCATTTTTGGGACTATTGGGATTTGGTGGACACATCTAACTCTGTTAGCCGATCAAGTTTCATAAGATTTGGGCCATCCCCTGAATTTTAGGAATTTTCTTTCTTTCTAGAAATAAAATCTCCTTTAAAACTTCCCAAAAAGGTATTCCCCTCTAGCCCTATCCTGTAGCTTCTCCAGGAGCAGCAGCAGGGCACCATTCCTTTCTGCCAAATGTCAAAGATGCACTTCCACATTACACAGCCTACTATTACACTTTATTTACTAATAAAAAAAAAACAACTTCTTCCAAAGCATTTGCATTTTTTGTTCTCACAACATACTGGAAGAGGCCAGTAGCTCGCCATCCACAAGCAAGCAAGTCCTCTTATTACAAAAAACACTCCTGTATGATCCACTGGAAAAAAAATATTGTGGGAAATCTAGCCATGTTTGGGGGAAATAACAATGTTTTGGAGCATATTATATTATTTAGAGTCTTAGCAGTTCAGAGCAGGTCTTCAGGTTCACTTATTCAGAAAGGCAAGGTGGCAACTGCCCCAAAAACGGGCAATAGAGGGAAGAAGAATTACATCCGGTCAGGCAGGCAGGCTGTTGGCAACTGGAGAAGATGGGGGCTGGGGCTGTTGGCTGGGGCTGGATGCTTGCACCCACCCCTTAAATTAACCACAGCTCTCCAAACAAAGGGTAGGTAGCAGCTGGTGGTGGGACATAGTGAGTGGGGGTGGATGCCTCCTGCCAGCGTGTTTTGGCTGGCTGGCCAGCTGGGCGGGCACCCACCCCTGGCCCTTAAGTTAACCACTGCTGTCCAAAGAAGGAAAAGGTAGCAGCAGATAGGCTCACAGGGAAACCCCATGACAGCACATGGCAGCCTCTCCATGCACCGCGTGATCCCAAATAGAACAGAAGGTAGTCATGACTGGCAGCGACATGGTCCATTTTAATAATAATTTTAAAAAGCATGGTGGCAGAGCCCTTGCTATTACGGGTGTCTGAACAAGCCGAAGGCAAATATATTAATGAGAACCACTAGACCAAAACTGAAAGATATGGGAAATGAGTTCTTGTTCAGTTTTTTTAGAAGGCTTTAATTCAGCGTAATTAACTATTTTGTAACAGTATTGTGTGTCTGTTTAAAATTAATAATGAATTAATATTTTTTTTATCATGGAGTTCAAGTCTACTAACCCTTAAAATTAATAATTGTGTGCCATTTCTGTGACATTGTTGCGTAGGTATACTGTGTGTGTCTTTCACAAAAGAAAATTAAAAACTACTACCATGTGAGCTTCCTTTTAAAAATATGTTTTTTCTTAAAACAATTTAGGTGCGTAGATTTTCTGAAGCATTTTTTTGCTTAGAACATCCAAGGGAAGCAGCCCTTGCATATCAGGAACTTCAGTAAGTATCAGTAAATACAAATGTTAAGCCAGAAGTGAAAATGCATTGTTTTTTAACTTAATGAAAAGAAATTAATTGATTATAAGATCACTCTAATGCACAGCCTGTATTTAAATGTGTAAAATATATGTTTTATGTAAAGTGCATTCCAGAAGGATATTTCAGACACCCTCTACAGCAGTCTATTTATCAAGCTCTGGGGCAAATAAATTGCTGTGATCCACAGACGAGCTACATCAGGTCTATGTGGCCCATTCAATATACCGGCAGTCCCTGAGTTGCAAACATCCAACATAGATAAGTTAAGCTACATGTGTGAGACAACAGGAAGTGAGAGAAATGTGCCCCCAGGAAAGGAAATTCACTCCTGAAGAGTTATCATGGGGAAAAGGTGTCTTCACAGAAGATTTATCTCCAATCCATTTCACAACAAGCCATTTTTGTTTCAAAATCACAGAGACAGGAAGTGCAGTGAAATACTCTGTACAGGGGCACCGACAGCAAAACAAACACCACAGGGATGTCCAAAGATAGATAGATAGATAGATAGATAGATAGATAGATAGATAGATAGATAGATAGGGTTGAATTTACACTTAAAAATGTACCTGTTCTAACTTACATAGAAATTCAACTTAAGAACAACCCTACAGAACCTTGTTCATAACTTGGGAACTACCTCTGTCTGCATCTTCAGATAAAAATACTTATTGTGAGTGCCGATTCTTCAGATATGGAGAATTAGTCAGAATTAATTAGATTTCATTACTAATTCCACTGACTGGGTGTAGTTCCTTACAACATTCTAACCTCCTGTATATCAGGCCTTTGATTCTTGCTGGGGTTTGGTACCAGGACGCTTCATTGATCCCAAAATTTATGGATGTTCATGTCCTGTTACATACAATGACTAATTAGAATGTTGTCTCTTGTATAACATTGCAAAATCCAGGTTTACTTTTGGGAGTTTTGTTTTTGTTGTTGGGAAAATGTTTTCAAGTCGAGTATGTTAAATTTATGGCTATTGAGGAGCCAACTGTACATCCAACGTTTCCTTCATTTGTACTATACTTTGAGTGCTCTAGTTTGCAATTAAGACAGCATCTGATCGACTCTGTTATAACCTGTTAGCAGTTTTGCTGGTGATGCTTCTAAGTCTTGTTTAATCGAATTTGATTCCGTTATATCGACTAACTTCCATTATTAAGCCAAAAAGCTTGCAGCATATCAATTGTTACTTTGTTGTTCCTGACCTATTAGTACAATTACACAGTCAAATGTTGGTTGTATGGTAGACAGTTTATTGTGTATTTTCCTTTGTACAACTATTTTAAGAGAAGGTGGTGTCTTTCAGTGCCCAGAGCTACCTTCAGATGTGTACTGCAATAAAAAGCACCTCCTTCTGTAGTTCTCTCCCACCTCTCCCAATTGAATGCAGTGAATTGGATGGAGATCTGAATTCCTTGCCTATAATCTTTGAAGATCGATATCTAGATTCTGTGACTGAAGGTAAATCAAGGCTTGCTGGATTTTGCCGTGGAGAAATGAAGTAAACATTTAAACTTTTCAGGATTCTTACAAGATAGTCAAGGCAAGGATTGAAGAGACACGTGCACTAGAGCTTTTCCTGGGACTGACTTTTCTAATTAAAGTTAGAAAAGTGACATTCCTTGAGGGGGGCTCACCTTGGCTTTAGGAGCAGCTTGCCACATAGTAACTGGTGTTGTAGCTAGGCAGTGTTCATACAAAATCTCACTGTTTGTCCCTTGATTGTTCAGCCTATTTAAATATAAATTTAAATATAAATTAATATTGTCAAAGGCTTTCATATATGTGGGTTATCTGGAAAGTAGGGTTACAAGATTTTTTTAAAAATACAAAGAATGAATATATTTTAATAAAACTTATATGGATTGTAGCATAGGTATTACATTATTTTTCCACATAATCACCATTTAGTTCAATACATTTTTTCATTTGTGGGACAAGTTTTTGATTTTTCCACCTTTTTCAGCCAGTTCATCACTTTGATTTTTACCTTGTCATCATTGGAAAAGTGTTTTCCACCAAGGGGTTCCTTCAGTTTAGTGAACAATTGATAGTCACTGGGTGCAAGATTTGAGTTGTGAGAGGGGTGACTTAAAATATCCCAACCAAATGAAGGCAACAATTCTTGTGTTGCATGAGCAGTGTGCGGACGAGCATTGTCATGAAGGAGAAGAATCCTGCCTTCAGCATCCCACATTTTTTTGGATGGCTCTGTGAAGTTTCTTCTTGGTCTCATAATATATTCTATAGCCATTTTTTCACATGCTGTCTTGTCTCCATAAACTGAAATGATTTTTCAATGAATCGCAGCAGCATTCATGCCCTTGGCATTTAGGTAGCGTATTACAGTGCAAACTTCATACTTAGAGGGAAATGGAATGAGGACACTCCTCTTTAACCTTCACCACACTGTCAGTTGATGAGCTACTGACGACTGGCACTGCTCTCTCGCTTCCATTGGCTTCCCACTACATGGCCGAGAAAATTTCCTGTGAGAGCTGCGTGCCTTGTAACCTTGCTTTCTGGATAACCTTTGTACTTGTTTTTCACTAATTTATATCTTTGTTGATGAGAAAAAAAAACTATAGAAGGCTGTAGCTCAGAAGCAGAATATGTGCTTTCTATGCAGGTGTTCCCTGGCATCTCCAGGTAGTTCTGGGAAAGGCTCCTGTCTGAAATTCTGGATTGCTGCTCACTATCACTCTGATCATTGAGTCCCAGTTTTGAGGGAAAGCAGAATATAAATAACACAATTGATTGACTGATGATAGATAGATAGATAGATAGATAGATAGATAGATAGATAGATAGATAGATAGATAGACAAGAAGATGGACAATACTATACTAGATGGAGCTATGAGTGATTCTCAGACTTTGGTCCTCCAGGTGTTTTGGACTCCCAGAAATCCCAACCATCTTACTAACTGTTAGAAATTGTGAAAGGTGAAGTCCAAAACTCCTGGGGGACTAAAGGCTGAGAACCACTGACCTAACTTACTATACTATTTCTTTTTGTTTCTTTCTTAGAATAAAGGACCACAAAATGCATGCATCTCAAGATGCATGTTTTAAATCAGTAGAATTGTTATGTAATATAGTATTAGTATTAAGTAGTTACATTATTTTGTCCTAAAATATTTTCCCTCTTTGTTTTTAATTCTAAACAAGAGACAGATGTACCCTGGTCTACAACTCATCAGAAGTCTGATTCCAAGAAACCAGATAAAATAGATACTGAAGAAAGTTGCGTAACTGGCTTTTCCAGCCCAGAATTGAAAAATCGTTCCATGGCCTCCCATGCTTGGCAGTCAGAAAGCGAAAAACAGTTCACTAAGTCTTCTAAAGGAAAGAATGAAGATGTAAACAAATCGAAAGTTAAAGTTACCAAATTGATGAAAACAATGAAACCAGAAAATCCCAAGAAAATTATAAAGCAAAATTCTAAAGACTCTGTTGTCTTGGTCGGCTACAAATGTTTGAAAAATGCAGCACAAGATGACATTTCTAAATACTTTGAAGGAACTCTTTCAGATAATCAGAAAGAAGGATTAGATTTTACTATGGGTAGGCATCCTTGTGACACGAAGAACTTCGTGCGACAAATCAGTGAGAAGGAAATTACAGGTTTACCATCTAGTACTGAGCAAATTACTACCAAACTGGAAGGGAGTAAAGAAGGCCAGCATATCTCTGTTGTTTCTCAGTGTGCAAATTCAATCATTTTTGGTAAATCTGATCTTCCCCAAGCAGGTATTGGGGGTACTCATGCAGATAGCAGTTTGATACCTAGAAGTTCTGTTGAAAATTATACTGGTACCTCTGGAGTTACCAAAATAGAAGTAAAACCATACTGCAGAAACATTCACGGGGGAGAGAAAGTGTTTGTTAGAATTGGTTCACAAATTGAAGTTCCAAGTGGTGGAGAAAGTGGAGGGAACTTGCAGGAGCAGCCCACTTTTGACAGACTAGAATCGGGAAAGAGAGTTAAATCAGAAGAAGAGGAACTGCTGCTTGAAAAGGAAGTTGTGCAAGAAACAAATTTCCGACTCGTTAAGGATTCATTAGCAAAGGATGCAACCAGCCAGTCCACTCTGTCACCAAAGGAAACACCTATTGCAGCTGTAAGTGGAGATGTTCTTAGGTTGCCCGATGTCAGCATTACCTGTGCATCTTCTAGATTTTCAGATTCTGGTGTTGAAAGTGAACCGAGTTCTTTTGCAATGCACCCAAGTGCAGATGGGACTTTTGAAACTCCTCAAGGCCAAGGTACTTGCAGCACCGAGAGAGTATTTCCTCAGCTTTTGTTAAAACCGGATTGTAATATTAAAAACCTGGTGGAGAACCATTGTACAGAAAGTACAAGTGCTGTTAGTGAAATACAGTCCTCCCTGACATCGATAAATTCTCTTCCTTCTGATGAGGATCTTTCCCCTGATGTAAACTCAAAGACATCTGAATGCCAGCTAAGCGATAGCAAAACTGTATTAGACCTGGGAGCCATTGACTTGACAAAATGTGAAGACAACGAGGAACCAAATGTTTTGCTACATGACTGTGTACCATGTTCAGAACAGTCGGACAATGAAACTACTTTTCTGCCTTCTTTGTCCTCCAATGCAAAATGTCCTTTACAGCTGCTTTCAGGTGATGATATGTGTACAGATATGAACCCACCCTTGGACACTGGCACAGGTTGTAAAGATATCCAAATACTGGAGAGAGACATTCATACTGTAGGAGAAACAACTGAACCCCCATCAGGAGTTGTTTGTCCAGGGGGATCATGTGTTGTTTCAGGTTCAGTATCAAGCGAGGGTGGTGTGGAAAGACCAAGCGAAGGAGATTTTAATGAATCCTTAGAGCAAAAAAAGCTAGCTGATAAATTGTCAAGTACAACAAATGATGAAGCTTCCACAAATTTGAATATCTTCTCATCAGAAGGAAGTACAGATATGTTGAAGCAAGGACTTGTAGAAAACTACTTTGGCTATCAAAGTAGTACAGAGATTTCAAATATATATTCTGCTGACCCTAACAATTCTGTTAGCCCTCAACGGGGAACAATTTGTTCTGTTTCAACAGAGGAGGAGGAGGAAGAGGAGCAAGATCAAGACATGGTTGAAAATGGGTATTTTGAGGAAGCAGATGATAGCAGTGTATATGGAGCGACCCACGATGCCGAGGAAATGTTTGGGCTCACAAATGAGACTTCTTTAACAACAGACAGAATGGCCCGGGAACTTCTTTTTGAAAATGCATCAAATCTCTCTCCATTCTGTCCTCCGGGGAGTTTGACTTTTCCTTCTACATTGAAAGGATATCCATCCAGTGTGTTATGGTCATCAAAGGACAAACCTAATGCAGTTCTCAAGCCACCCAGCAATGTCTCCTGCAGTACTGATTCGTCTGTCCCTTGGTATGAGTGGGCTGCCAAGCCTCAAATGCAAGCGTAAGTGACATCATTCAGAACAATTGTTTTTAATTACTATGTTAGAGGAAAATGTACAACTTCTGTATGTTGCACTTGATTTTTGGGTACTACTCTTAGGAAAACAGATTTACAGAGAGGAGCTGTTGTTTTGTTTTTTCTTTACTTTTTAGACTTGAAATTTCATCTAAATTCACCATCAAGGTAGCCAAGAGATCTGATAGTTGTACATTCAGATTGTAGCGGTGAGGAACAGAAGCAGGATTAAAATGCAACCTTGCTCAGAAACAAAAAAGAAGGGTGCTGTTAAAAATGAAGACTTGTGGAACAGGAGTGGGAAATACACCATTTCTAAATGTTGCAAGTTACAGCACCCATCAACCACAGTCAGTGGTGGGGATTTGATAAGTGTTGCAATTGAACAACACTTATCAAGACACATAACAAGTTTAAAATGATATATATCTATCAATATAAAAGTCAAAATATGCATATATGTCTGTCTGTACCACAAAAGGTGACAAACCAGTGGCCCTTTATGATGTCACTGGATTGGCTGTGGTGAAGGTTTGGCTGTTGCTAGGTGATGTGGTCCTTTGTTATGTCACTGGGAAAGAAAGGTGACTTGTGTATGAGGGGAAGGGGGGAAGGAAGGAAAGGGCCAAAAAGACAGAAAAGGGAGAGGGAGGGAGGGAGGGAGGGAGGAAGAGAAAAAGAGGGGGGAAAGAACCAAGGGATGAAAGCAGAAGGTAACAGTCCCTCTGACACCCAGGCAACGTTGGGTGATGCTAGTTAAAAATAAAAGTATAAATGTCAAAATGTAGAAGTAATTAAACCAACAATAAAGTTTAAAACATTCAAGGTTAGCATTCATTAACAGAAAAGATACAAAACTTAAAAATAAGACAGCACAATAATAAAAGCCCACCCCAATCTGTTTCTTATGGCTAGAAGCAATCACCAGGGCACAGCTTCCATGTCCATCAATGAAATAAATATTGGAATATAGCATTGATTTATGGCATTTTTACTTCTTTCAGTTTTTTGGTAAATTGCAGGGTGGTGGGGAAAATAAAACTAGAAGGCATATGTTGAAAATTATATAGATACGTTTGAGTGATCACCTGATGATCTCCAGTAGCTGTTGAGACAAATTATTGAGAACCTTATGGTGGAAGTGCAAGCTACAAACTTCAGTTTAAGTCTTTTGTCCAAGTTGGTGAGTGCTTTGCTCTTCAGTGGTGTTCTGATCGATAAATAATCTCTGATTTGAAGTATGGAGTATGGCTTCACTCTTCAAGTTTCAGTATGTAACAAAATCTCAAAGAGTGGTTTGTACACAAAATACTTCTTAGAACCTAGTGTAATGCGAGTATGGTATTGTGACATACGGAGTTGTAAGACAAACAAGGTGGTCGTCCAGGATATAATTGTTGTTTAGTGTTTTTAACTGAAATGGTGTCTGAAAAGCATGACTGAGAGTGGAAATGGGTCATTGATACTTCTGTTTCTCCTACAGGCATCTTTTTCCGCTATGGAAATTCATTTGGTTCAATGCAACTGTGCATAATTCATATATAATGCAACATATTTTTACATTGTCCAGTACACATTTTGGTGCCTCAAATGTTAGACCTTCTTCTGGGTATCTTTGACCAAAAATGACACTGGTTTCCCCCGTCAGCTCTAGTTTTTGAGATACAGAACATACACCATCTATTAAGTCTCCGTCTGCTTGTCCATTTAAAATTATGATAACAATTTCTAAGAAACTAGAGCTGGTGCAGTCTATCCAATGCAAATTTCTGAATCAGAGGCCCAAGTAACCCCAGGAACAGGTCTAAAATCCAAGACGCCAAGAAAAAAATTGATTTTGTTGGGCTGTGTTATCATAAATCCCTTTTCAATTTGGAAAAGTGGAATTCTTGAATTTTTCATAACCAAAGTGGCTAATATAACTGTGTTATGGAAGCTACACAAAGAAATTATTGCAGCATATATATATCTAAAGTGGGAAGAGAGATGGTTGTAAGTAAACTGCTGAGCTCATACGACTTTATGGTCAGGGATACTCTTTTTGAAATGGGCTAGAATTTCAAATACATGCATATAAATGAACTGAAAGTTAAACAAATAGCATTATTCATTACTTGATGTGCAGCATTTACCATCTGGGATAAGTAAGATCTGCTTGTTTCAGATTCCTTCAGGCTAAAGAGGAACTGAAGCAACTTCAGCTCCCTGGATTTATGTACAGTGATGTTCCCAAACTGGCATCCGCAGTACCTTATTTCAGTACTGAAGAGGAAGAAAGTACAGAAGATGGAATACATCTCATAGTCTGTGTCCATGGTCTAGACGGTACGTTGTTAGCAGTTTATCGTGAATTAGAAAACATCTCAGAGTTTAGATCAGGAGTAAGAAAAGTGTGACCTAAGCTTTATGGGGTACCCCAAGGCTATTTCTCCTTTTTCCAAATGTATCCAGGGAGGGTTTCCAACCCTAAAGGTTGTCCTTTACTCATCCCTCTTTAGAATGCTTCACTTTTACTCAAAATGCCCCATGCCCTTTAGGTAGTATTCAGGTGTTTTTGCTACAGGGGGTGGGTCAATTTGAGCAGCAGACAGAGCGATAATAATGTAAATGACTTCTATGATTGGCAATGGACAGACCTCGGATCGTGACTTTGGATTTATGTAATTTTAAATTGATGTTTTATAATTGATGCTTTAACTAATTGTTTTAATTGTAATTGCTATTATAATTGTGAGCCGCCCTGAGTCTACCCCCCCCCCCCCCCCCCGGAGGGGTGAGAAGGACAGGATATAAATGTTTGAAATAAATTCAAAAGGGAAGTGACTTTCAAGATTTTTGTTTTGGGTTTTAGGTTAAATCTTGGTTTAAATGTGATAACTGCTAAACCATATTGAAAGAAAATGTTTTAATCATTATGGGGATCCAGTCAGGTTCAGTAAAATGTTTTTAAAATTACCCTTTTAAAAAAGCTTTGCTAATCCTAATCAGGAAATTTTGATGTTTTCTGTAAAATTCAGCTGAATGAGATGACAGTGGGCTCTATTTGATTTTATTTTTATAAAAATGATCCAAGATCACATGTAAAATAACATAGCTATGATACCCAAAGTTTTTTGCTGTCTCGGCAATCTGGAACAGGCTCCATTTATACACTGGATTCAAACCAGTTTACAAACTTTTCAGCAGTGAGTGCTACTCAGTGGAGTTTTAATCCAGATATATATTGCTTTGAAAATGTTGTCCAATTAATTACAATGTACAAAAACAAAAGCAGTATTTTTTTGCAGTTCATACAAATTTTATTTTTATGGTAAGATAACGCATATAAGCACTTGTGCGATGTTAGACACATCTATTCTAATTGCAACATGTTATCTTTTCTGGAAAAAGATCTTCTCATTCTTGATATTTTGTCTCTTTACTTTAGGTAACAGTGCAGATTTAAGATTAGTAAAGACGTACATCGAACTTGGTCTTCCTGGAAGTCGTATAGATTTCCTGATGTCTGAGAGAAATCAGGTATTGATGAGTGTTAGGAAGATTTTTTAAAAAAAAAATTATAATATGATAGGAATAAAACAATGCTGGGGAAAATGAAAGGAAAAAGGAATAGGGGCAGACCAAGGGTAAGATGGATGGATGGTATCCTTGAATAGACTGGCATGACTTTGACGGAGCTGGGGGTGGCCACGACCAACAGAGAGCTCTGGCGTGGGCTGGTCCATGAGGTCACGAAGAGTCAGAAGCAACTAAAATAAACAGCAACATGAGTATTTCACATAGATTGTCAAATTATTACATAAATTGTTAGATATGAATCCTATTGTACATCAAAAAGTTAACCTTGCAGTTAAGACTGTAACACTATACATGCTGTTGAAGTATATAGCTAAGTAGAAATGTTCATTTAATGTTTATTTAATGAGAAAGCACTCTGCTGATGAGTGGAGCCACCATCTCCCCCAACTTCACACCAATCTCATTAATGTTAGCATTAACAATAGGTTCTAGGGCTCAGCCCTGAATAGAATAAATATTTCTATCCTCTCATAGTTGTTAAGTGACAGTATCAGTTGCCCTACATAGATACCCCACATTACAGTTTTTTCGACAAGACTTTCTCCTCTAATGGTGGTACCCTGTATATCAATTTTAATATCATTGCTACATGCACATTTTCCTCCCTGGACTTAAGTGAAATAAGGAACCACTGCATTGGTCTCCCAAACCATGGAAGTCAAAGTGGAAGTCCAAGAAATAAGACACTTTGAGGGCAATTGATCCATTTGATGTTCCTCATCTCAACAGTGGAAGGGGGCACCATGTCAGGAGGAAGTGACCTGTTATCATGTCACTGGGCAGCTTGTACCATCCCTTTCAGGGCAACAACAGGCTGAAGAAAATGTGGATGTCTGTTTGCAGAACCAACAGACACAGAGATTAGTCTCTGCCATTATTTTCCAGCTGAGAACCAGTTTGGGGCTTTTCCCAATAGATGCAAGCTTGTCTGTCTTGTGCCTTTAGCACACCAAGTGCCTCACAAAGTCAGAAAAAAAGCCTTTATTTACACCTGGAGGTAGTCAACATTCCCCCCCTTTCTTTTTTAAATTGGTCTGAATGAAATTAAGCCTTTAAACAGGTAAGGTCCACAGGTTAGATATTCTAGAAGATGCTTCAGGTGAGTTTTGAAAACAAACCCCTGTATTTTCCATTTTAGTAAAAACTGTATTATGTAAAGACATAATACAGTTGTGCCTTATTGGAAATAATTCGAGAGTGGGGGCGTTAAAGCAAATTGTATTGCAATGTGCAAAGAACGCCTTACTTATTTCCCTACATCGTTTTCCCTTCTTGGGATACCACAACTAACTTTGATTGCGGTTATCCATGTTATAGACACCAATAATGAAGGACGCTTATGTTTATCAGAAATCATCTTTCTTTAAGAACACCAAACTTTTTTCCTCCACAGAACGATACATTTGCTGACTTTGATTCAATGACTGATCGTCTTTTGGATGAAATAATACAATATATTCAAATTTATAATCTAACTATTTCAAGAATCAGGTAAATATTCTAATGTGTGTTATTTTATCTCTTCAGAACATGGAAAACAAACTGGAGTTTGTAGGGATAATCTTGAATCTTCTTTTAAGGGCACAGATTTTTTAAAAAATTAATTTACTGTCTTTCCTACCAAAGATAGACTAAGGAGCAGCATGTATACAGTATCCATTGTGTGCTCTGTGAACATAATAGGCTGATTTGGAAGCATAATTGCTAGTAAAATGCCCAGTGGGTTAGATCCACACCTTCAAAATATAGTTGTTTTTTTAACTCGTCATAATGGTTTAAAGTGCAAACCTGGTTCTTGAAACTAGCTCATTGGACAGCTAAATAAGAGTATATGGCTGGATGCATTGAACACTAACAGCATTCTGACAGTAACTGTAAGCCATGATGACTGAATAAAATATATTCAGAAGTGGTATATATCTCTCAGCTCCAGATACTAGAGAAATAAGTGATCTTTGCTTCTACGATTTGGCGTTCTAGTAGCTTTTCAGCCAAGCTAACTGGTATTTCTGAACATTCTTGCAAGTCCATGCAAATACTGTTTTTCTATATAGGTGAAGCTGTGGAAGATAAGCAGAGGGAAGAATCAAATGAATGGTACTGGGAGGCTCTGAAATCAGCAAAGTTTAACGTGTTGTCGAAGGCTTTCATGGCAAGAATCACTGTGAGTCTTCTGGGCTGTACGGCCATGTTCCAGAATCATTCTCTCCTGACATTTCACCCGTATGTATGGCAGGCATCCTCAGAGGTTGTGAGGTCTTTTGGAAACTAGTGAGGTTTATATGTCTTTGGAATGTCCAGGGTGGAAAAAGAACTCAAGTCTGCTTGAGGCAAGTGTGAATGTCGCAATTGGCCACCTTGATTAGCATTGAATGGCCTTGTAGCTTCAAAGCCTGACTGATTGCTTCCTGGGGAAATCCTTTGTTGGGAGGTATTAGCTGGTCCTGATTGATTTTTGCATGGAATTCCTGTTTTCCGAGTGTTGCTCTTTATTTACTATCCTGATTTTAGGGTGTTTTAATACATTTAATAACACAGAAATGCTGGACCACTCTAACATGAACCATATCAGACTACACAGAGAAGCCATTGAAATCCACAGACATGTGGACAATTTCAACAGAAAGGAAACTGTGAAAATAAACAAAATCTGCCTACCAGTATTTTAAAAACTCTAAAATCAGGACAATAGATAAAGATAAACAGGAATCAGTCAGGACCAGCCACACCTCCCAATAAAGGATCCCCCAGGCAGCAACTAGCCAAGCTTTGAAGCTGCAAAGTCATTTAATGCTAACCAAGGTGGCCAGTTGCAACATTCACACTTGCCTCAGGCAGACAAGAGTTCTTTGTTCCACCCTGGACATTTCACAGATATATACTACCTCGCTTGCCTAGTTTCCAACACACCCCTCAACCTCTGAGGATGTTTGCCATAGATGTGGACAAAATGCCAGGGGAAAATGCTTCTGGAACATGGCCATACGGCCTGGAAAACTCAAAGCCACCCATTTCGTTGTTTCTTGGATAGAGGGGAACATACCATGCATGGTATACTGGCTTCCCTCAAGTTTGCAGCCCACATACCTCAGTTGTTGGTAATTGTCTTAAGCATTTTGAAGGTTTCCCTTCCCTCTAAATTATCATTTCTGGGCTTTAGCAAGGTATGTATAATATGCATTATAAAGCTAAGATAAGGTAACTGCCTCCATTTGAAGATTTATTTTTAAAAGCTTTTCCAAAATGTCATGCTCCTTTTTTTGTCTGTTTTGTTCAGTTTTATTGGGCATTCATTAGGTAACCTAATTATCCGCTCGGTGCTTACAAGGCCCAGGTTTAGATTTTACCTCGGCAAACTTTACACCTTCCTGTCTCTGTCTGGACCACATCTTGGCACACTCTACAACAGCAGTGCTCTTGTTAACACAGGTAAAAAACAGTTTGGATATTTATTTAGAGAGTGGATGCAATATTTGTGTGATGCCCATGTAAAATGATGTATGTGGAATTTCCTGTCCACTGTGAAAATGAATGTCAAAGCCCATGTACACTGGAGCTGCTACAAACCATAGGGATATTTAGAGCTAATAAGTCAGTTGCTCAGATTTTATTTCAGTAAGTTTTAAATGTCGTCTGTTTATTTTTTTGGTACCAAACTTTTGTTAATGATTTCTAGAAGGATATCCCAGTGGATCTCCCAGTAGATCTCATTGGCTTCTTTTACACTGTACTATATCCCAGGATCTGATCCCATATTATCTGTTTTAAACTGGATTATATGAGTCTTCGCTGCCAGATAATCTGGGATAATCAGATACTGTATCTACTGAAGTATAAGCAGAGTTTTTCAACACTTTTTTTAGGCTGGGAAAACCCCCCTCGACTTACTGTTGAGTCAAGGTTTCTTATTATTTTACATTATTATTATTATTATTATTATTATTATTATTATTGTACTCTATTTGTTATTACATTCATTATTGTACTTTATTATTATTATTATTATTATTATTATTATTACATTTATTATTTTACTCTATTATTACTGTTATTATTACATTCCCATCATTTTACTCTTATTATTTTATTACATTTATTATTTTACTCTCATTATTGTTATTATTGGAAGGATACGTAAGCACATTTACATTGAAGAAGGTTAGAATAATTATTTAATCAGAGTTGGACAGTCTTATCTTAAATTACAGTTTTATGTAAATATTCACACCATTTAACCTACTCATGCCTCAATTAATGTAATTTTATTGGTATCTATTTTTATTTTTGAAATTTACCAGTAGCTGCAGCTTTTCCCACCCTTGGCTTATACTCGAGTCAATACATTTTCCGGTTTTTTTGTGATAAAATTAGGTGCCTTGTCTTATATATGGGTCAGTTTATACTAGAGTATATACAGTAATCTGAAATCAGATCCTGAGATGTAGGGCAATGTAGAATGGACCATAGTCCACTTCTACACTGAGATATTATCAAAGCAGATAATCCACATGATCTGCTTTGAACTGGATTATATGAGTCTACACTGCCATATAATCCAGTTCAAAGCAGATAATCTGGACTAGACATGCACAAGTTTACATTTTAGTCACTGTTTTGCACCTAACCATAGGCAATAGATCTTCATCTTTTCAGTCAAAACACAGTAGAGGCTGCAGGCTGAAAGTTTGCCATATGAAGTGTAATACCAAGAAACTGAGTTGAAATAAATATGAATGTCGGAAGAAACCAAGGTTCTTAAACTTGAGTTCTTTAGTTGTCTGAAGAATTACGGTTCAGAGGATAGCATGATCAAATAAATATTCTGATGTTCCTGTTCAAAACTATCCCTCTATAAAGGAAAGGGTATCGTAAGTCAGACAGTCCAGCACCTTTGGAATAAGATTAAACTTTTGGGCAGAATAGAGAGAAATAACCTTCGTGTTAACATATTCACACTGATCTACCTGTAAAAGAGATAAACAAAAAGACCTGTAGTTTAAATCCAAGCATTGTATGAATATATGGAAACGCATACATATGATAAGGACATTTTTATACCATTTTTCATCAGAAACTCCCAAAGTGGATTGTTTTGGACACCAGTAAACCCATATGAAACACAACAAAAACAATAAAACCATATCTAAGCAGTGGGTTAAACCCTGAGCTGCTGAACTTGCTGACCGAAAGGTCGGTGGTTCGAGTTCGGGGAGCAGAGTGAGCTCCCGCTGTTAGGACCAGATTCTTCCAACCTAGAGGTTTGAAAATATGCAAATGTGAGTATATGAATAGGTACCATTCCTATTGGAAGGTAAAGGTGCTCCATGCAGTCGTGCCAGCAACATGACCTTGGAGGCGTCTACGGACAACGCTGGCTCTTCGACTTAGAAATGGAGATGAGCATCACTCCCCAGAGTCAGACACAACTAGATTTAATGTCAGGGGAAACCTTTACCTTACTTTACCTTTATGAAAGCATTTTTTAAAAATTAAGAATAAAAATATAAGTAGTACACACCCAGTTAAAGAGCCTTGTGCACAAACATTCAATCACCAAATGCCTGTTTGAGGAGGAGCACAGAGGGAGGCGTTTTAATTGTTCTGGGCATGTGATTTACTTGATGTGAAAATCCTGTCTTTTGAGAAATTTATTCATTTGATGCATCTGCTTATAATTATAATTAATTTAAATCAGATAAGAAAATGAGGCAGATAATTATATATTATGATGCACGGGGTGAACATAAATTGGAACTCATTACCAGTGTCACATTACAATAAATGCACAAATAATTAATTGCATTATTCTTTTGTGCTGTGCATCAAAAAACAGGCCTCTGGTTCATGCAGAAGTGGAAAAAGTCAGGGTCTTTATTGCAGTTGACGTGTCGAGATCATTCAGACCCTCGCCAAACCTTCTTGTACAAACTTAGTAGAAAGGCAGGTAAGCTATGCCAACCTTTTTCAGAATATTCTGTTATTTCTTCCTTCCATATGCTTTGACTTTCATGCCAGCTTATTACCATGAAGCAATGTGCTACTCCATATGTATAAAGTTGCTTTGATCCTGAGCCAATAAAGTCAGTGATTTCAATTTAAACTGGTGCTATAAAGAGTTTGTTTAGGTCACCTCTCCATCAGATAATAGAGGATATTGATCTTTTTAAGATAAGTCATGGCACAAATACAAAGTTCTTCAGTGTTGCATAGGAAGTTCAGTTATTTACGATATTGTTTATGTTGGATCACAGAAGAGTGAAACAGACTCAGAAGTGGAGTGGGCAGATCAAAAGACAACCTGGCAAATGGCACTCCCTAGAAGAACCCTCCACCTTGTGGATCAGATCAAACAACTCAGCATCTGTATGCTTGCCTACAATGCCCTGCCTCATGCACAGAGGAAGAACTGTTTAAAGCTACAGACAATGCAGTCGCTGTTGCCTGTTTTTAGTCTAAAATTATGTAGCTGCTTGTGCTCCCTTTATTTTATCAATTCCATACTTATTTATTCATGCAGTACTTTTGACATGAAATAAATAAAATAGATCATATATAAATCAGTTTTAAAGGAACCATAAATAAAAACACATAGTCAGAGAGAATAGAAATTATCATAACCTTGCAAATTCACAGATTAAGCAACTAGTTAGTCCCAGGGCCATTTTTTGCCCTCTCTGGATTCTGAAGGGCTGGAAAGTTCTCTGCCCCTCTGCTCCCCTCATGGCACACAAACCCATTTACATGGAGGAATGTGGAGCCATATACATGAGGGGAGCAGAGTGAAATGCTAAATTACATTGATATAGAAATCCAAAACATGTCCATTTGATCAAAAATCTCAGGTTAGTAAAATAGCACTTTCCACAGAATGATTAAGGGAGTCCCCAGTGGCACAATGGGTTAAACCCTTGTGCCAGCAGGACTGAGGACTGACTGGTCGAAGGTTTGAATCCAGGGAGAATGGGTTGAGCTCCCTCTGTCATCTCCAGCTCACCATGTGGGAACATGTGAAAAGCATCCCACAAGGATGGTAAAACATCAAAAACATCTGGGTGTCCCCTGGGCAACGTCTTTGCAGACGGCTAATTTGCTCACACCAGAAGCGACTTGCAGTTTCTCAAGTCACTCCTGACACACACACACACACACAAAACAGAATGATTAACAGCAGCAACTCACTTTACACCTTGGCACTGCTTCTGCCTTTTTAAATGAATTGATGGAAAAATGGCAGCAGCCAGGAGTGACTAGCTCCCTCAACTTATTCATGAGGTTGATTTTATTGTTAGTTGTTTTGTTTAATGTGTTATCAAAGGCTTTCATGGCCGGAATCCCTGTGGTTACTCACAGCAACCCGGTTGTTTTGTTATTCACTATTACTTCCTTGTTTGAAATAAACCATCATGCATGTTTCTAAAATCTATGTAAAGTGCTTCTAAATACATTCTTCTTTATTACATTTATCTTTTTTGTCTTTTATAGGTCTTCAGTATTTCAAAAATATAGTATTAGTTGGATCTCTACAAGATCGTTATGTCCCTTACCACTCTGCCCGCATTGAGATGTGTAAAACAGCTTTGAAGGACAAACAGACAGGTAATAGCTAACCTGCAGACATCTCTGGTGGGTTTGAAATGACCAGGGAAGAAGAGTAAGTCAGATTCATAAAGGATAAAACCATCTATGTGTGCAACTACACTGTAAAATTAATAGAGCTTGATGCCACTTTAACTGTCATGACTCAGTGCCATGGAATCCTGGGAGATGTAGACTTACAAGGTCATTAGCTTTCTCTGCCAAAGAGTACTGGTATGTCAACAAACTACAACTCCCAGGATTCCTTAGCATTGAGTCATGGCAGTTAAAGTGGTGTCAAACTGCATTAATTGTATGTTGTAGATGTGGCCTATGTCTACTATTCAGGATAATTACATTTTATCTCTATTAACAAGAATATGCCTCTGAATACCATTTGTTAGAGAATATATTTTGGTTTAATTCAGTGCAGATTATGTTTATTACATTGGCCTCAATCTAATTGCCAGGCCCAACTGGAGCAGATTCATTAAATCTGTGGGACTTAAGCAAGTGTTGACTTACCATTCAGTAATTGATTTAGTGGTCCCCCGCTAGGTGGAAGTACAATTAGATTTAGACTATTGTTTTGAAATCACAGTTACTGTAAGGGTGGCTTGTAAGAAATCAGGTTTTTAAAAAAGCAGTAATATCGCCTTCTTTTAATATTCAGGACCAATATATGCTGAAATGATCCAGAATCTGCTTCTGCCTGTTCTCCAAAACAACGAATGCAGTTTGGTTCGTTATAATGTCCATTGTGCATTGCCAAACACAGCCGATTCTCTCATCGGACGAGCTGCCCACATTGCTGTTCTGGACTCTGACATATTCTTGGAAAAGTTCTTTCTGGTTGCCGGCCTCAAATATTTCCAGTAGGAATAAAACCAATTGTAACTGACCTGGCATATTACCTCATTAAAAGAGAATCCAATAACGTGCGATATTAAAACTGTAGCTGCCGCTATATTTTAAGAGATATTTATACTTTTTTATATGGAAGATAATTTATATCATCCATGTGAAGAGCTTTTTTAACATCGACTTTACTTTCTAGGTAATGTGGCTGTGCAATATTTTTTTTAACGTTCGTTTTTACGTTTTTCTATTTTTCTTATTTTGGGTACCTAATTATTTCAGAGCTGAGATTTAAGTACAGTTGTGTACAATTGGTGGGTTTATGGGCTCTCTTGGTTGCAAAAAATGTCAGTGCTTATGTGACAGTTTTATGCATCTTTTGATGCCAAAAAGCAATCTGAATGTTAACAAGTGCAACAAGAAGCCGTTAAATTTGATAGATCTGTTTCATATTGTGGAAAATTGAACTGGAAACATGTTGGCTGCTAAAATTACTATAACTGTAGGTCTGTTCAAGACCACTTTTTTGAGTCTCCTGTTTGCTATGTCACTACATTCTGTTTTCTATTGAAGCATTACTGAACATGCTATGCCTGTGGAAACTTCATTTTCCTATTGATCTCAGTAGCATGTGGGTTTACATTTTCACCTTTGTTACTGGAACTTCAGTTTTCATACGCAAAGCAGCAGCTAAGGATTTTTGAATGTTGAAATGTGAGCTGCCTTCAAATGGTATTTTGCAAAGTTTATTAAACTTGCTCTTACTCTTCGTTCAGTTCTTCAGTGAACCTTTTACACGGGACTTCCTTGTATGTACATTAAAAAAAAGTAAAGGCTATAAATTTCTGCAATACTTTTATGAATATAGATTTATAAATATTACATTTTATGGAGTACATATTATTGTAAATAGGAATAAACTGCATCTTGAAATGGAACAAAATGGTAAACTTTAGTGATATTGGTAAATGTTTTTAATATTCAGAAATGTTCAAGGGTTTGTCAAATTGGTGCTGAGCAGCATTGAGTCCAATATTCAGCTGTTTCAAACAGCGATGCACTTAAAGGTGAAAAGAAGGTCTTGTGCATTCACTAACTGTAATGACCAGGTTTTCTGAAAATATAATTTTGTTGTATATCTAGTGCATGTTTCTTTTTTAGCATTGTGTTACTGCATCTGGTGTTAATAAACTGAACAGACTTCTGATAACTTATGAGCAAAAAACATGTTTTGCTTTTTTTCCAAAGTGTTGTACAGTTTTGTCGTAATCAAGATCAATTTATTGTTTGTTTCCTTGATTTTTTTTAGTTTCACTGAGCTCAGTTGTTTGAAATGAATTTGTTGAAACTTGCATAGTTATAAAGAAGTGGTAGTATTTGTTTTTAATGCTGTGATCAGACTTTTTGCAGTGCTTCCTCAAATTTACTATAGATGTTTCATGAATAGATATTGCCAGATGAATATTTACCTGCTCTACTAGTAGTTTATTTCCCAAGAACTGAGTCATAATAAATAAGAAACATTTATTTATACCCTGCCACCATCTCCCATAGGGACTTGGGGCGGCTTACAAAATAGCACACAAACATGCCATACATAAACTAAAATACGGCAACATAAAAACAATAATAACATTACATAAACTGGGTATATAAATTGGATCGAGCACCCGCTATTAAAATAGAATCAGTTAAAAGATCCATGTAATCAATATAGCAGCCCAGCTGAATACACAGAATGTAGATATAAAGTGTTAAGTGATTGACAATCAGTTCTGGTTCCTGTTTAAACAATATCAAATGCCTGCTGGAAAAACCAAGATTTAATTATTTCCTATAGTGTTGTAGTGTAGGGGCTTGTCTAAGTTTACTAGGAAGGGTGTTCCAGATCCAGGGGGCCACCACTGAGAAGGCCCTCTCTCTTGTCCCCACCAACCACACTAAAGATTGAGGTGGGACCGAGAGGAGAACCTCCATGGCAGATCTCCGAGCCCACACCAGTTCATAGGGGGAGATGCGGCAATGAAGATAGTCTGGACCTGAACCGTGTAGGGCTTTATAGGTGATAACCTGCACTTTGAATTGGGACCGGAAACTTATCGGAACCCAGTGAAGCTGCTTCAATAGGGGCATGGTATGCTCCCTGTAATTAGCTGCAGTTAGTAACCTGGCTGCTAATCTTTGTACCAATTGCAATTTCCGGGCTGTCTTCAAAGGCAGGCCCATGTAGAGTGCATTACAGTAATCCATTCTAAATGTAACTAAGGTGTGGAACACTGTGGCCATGTCAGGCTTTCAAGGTACGGTTGCAGCTGGCGCACAAGTTTTAACTGTGCGAATGCCCTCCCAGCCACCACTGATACCTGAGCTTCAAGCGTCAACGATGAATCCAGGAGAATCCCCAGACTGCAGAACTGTGTCCTCAGGGAGAGTGTAATCCTGCCAAGCACAAGTTGCTACCCTACACCCCAATCGGTTTCACAGCTAACCAGGAGGACCTCTGTCTTGTCTGAATTAAGCCTCAGCTTGTTGGCCCTCATCCAGTCCATCACAGCTTCCAGGCTCTGGTGCTACTACATTCTCAGGGAGTTACTCTTATGTTTGTATGTCTAGGATGGTAATATTTACCTATTACAGTTGAGGTGACTGTACACACTTACGCACATTCATTGACATATTGTTATTTTCCTTATGTACATTAAATCAACAGTTCTAAGATTAGAGTATTGTTCTTTCCAGAACTGGCCCCCCAAGAAGTATGGCATCAATAATTCCCATTTCAAATTGAGGCCAAAAGAAAGAGTAGTCACACTTAGAAGCTAAATAAGAGTCAGCCTTGTTTAGTAGATACTAGGCAAACTACCTCTGAGTATTCCTTACCTAAAACACCCTTTGAATTTGAAATTCATAGGGTCACCATAAATCAAGAGGGAACATGAAGGCACATACATATAATTAGACCTAAATAGATATAATAGGTAGTTATAATTAGTCTTCTACTTCCTAGTTGATGCTTAGAGAACCAGAATTACAGTAGTTTGAGTACTGGGCTATGATTCTGGAGACTAGGGTAAATCACATACTCTCAGATCCAGAAAATCCTGTGATAGGTTTGCCATAGGTCAGAAATTGCTTAAAGGCGCATAAGAACATTAAAGGTGATGCTGAGGAGCAGGAAACCACATGTGTTCATGAACTCTCCCTCCCCCTTAAATTCCTTTTAGATTTAATTTCTGGAGCCAAATCCAGCATCTTATTTGCAATCACAGTGGAATTCTGTCCCCAAAGCACATCCACTCTCCAGAGCTGATGATGGGATTGCCCAGGGAACTGCACCGGGGAAGATTTTCTCCCTCCCCTTCCTCTGGAACTTACTATTCTGCTAGCAAAACACCATTGCTGGATTAGTCTGTATGAAAAATTAGTTAAACCAGGTAGACTTGTAAGAGACCACAAAGGCCATCCAGTCCAACCCCTGAAGTGAGTACTGTACTGTTGACATAAGCCTGCAGATAGTATATTGACTAGTACTGGACATATGGTAGCAATGGGAAGTGAAATTTCATGTATTTTGCTGGTTCTGAATTTCATTGCACATGCAGTCAGTATTATTTTGTGTGAGTTGGAGGAAGGAAGCCTAAGAATGAACACATTACGACTGTATGACTTATACATGCACATACCCTTTTATGTTTTTTTTTTTTGTAACTGTGAAATCGCTCGTTATTCCCATTCCGTTTATGTCCAACTAAAACAGATTTAAGTATTTCAGCTGTGCTGTCAGAAGTGGAGAGAGTGACATGGAGTGGTGGTTTGAGTATTGGTCTATGAGACCATAATCCATGTTCGACTGTGGAAACCCACTGTATGAAGTCACACTCTCTTGATCTCAAAGGGAAACCAAAGCCAAACAAATCAGTGAATGTCCCACCCTGAACATGTCACAGATATATAACCCCACTCGCCTAGTTTCCAACAAACCTCACAACCTCTAAGGATGCCTGCCATAGATGTGGGTGAAACATCAGGAGAGAATGCTTCTGGAACATGGCCATGCTGCCCACAAAACTCACAGCAACCCATATCAGTAATAGGGTCACCATGAATTAGAAATGACTCAATGGCACATAACATTTAGAAGAGATAAACAGCCTACTTTATCAAAGTCCTATACAGGCAGTCCCTGAGTTACAAACATCCCAACTTACCAATGACTCCTAGTTGAGAACTGGAGTGAGACAACAGGAAGTGAGAGAATCTACCCCATGGAAGGGAAATTCACTCCTGAAAGAGTTGTCATGGGGGAAAGGTGTCTACTGAAGCTTTATCACCAATCCTTGTTTCCAAAACAAGACAAATTCTTCAAAATCCAATTATCACAGGTATAGAAAGTGAAGTGTCATCTTCTGAACAGGGGCACAGACAGCAAAAACAAACACCACAGGGGTGTTACTTCTTCCCTATGCTATCCAAAGCTAAAATATGTATTTGGATGGAGTTACACTTCAAAAAATGTACCTGTTCTGACTTGCATACACATTGAACTTAAGAACAAACCTACAGGACCAATCTTGTCCATAACTTTGGGACTGCCTGTATATATTTCAAATGAGTCCCAGTATAGATCTCCTTGTTTCTTGTTGAGTCCAGCTGGCAGTCCTGCATATGTGTCCCTCTCCAGTGAATCAGGAAATGGGGGACTGGAAAAGCATCGTGATGCGAGGAGACATTAGCCTTGTGAGCGGATATCCCTTGCTGAATTAGGGCAGCTGGCTTTAATGCCATTCCTGTGACACAGAAGCAGCTTAGGTGAAGTAACATTGTCTCCCTCTGAGGGATCTGTAAAGTTTCAGCCCTCTGGGACATTCAAACTGCCCTCAACTGATCATATACAGAATATCAGACTTGACAATTTTTCCTAAAAGTAGTAAATAAAGGATATATCATATATTATACTTTATCATAAGGTAAAAGTAAAGGTTTCCCCTTGACTTAATATCTAGTCATGTCCGACTTGGGGGGTGGTGCTCATCTCCACTTCTAATCCGAAGAGCCAGCGTTGTCCGTAGACGCCTCTTAGGTCATGTCGCCAGTATGACTGCATGGAGTGTCGTTACTTTTCCGTAGATGCAGTACCTATTGATCTACTTACTTTTGCACGTTTTCAAACTGCTAGGTTGGCAGAAGCTGGAGCTAACAGCAGGAGCTCACCTCACTTCCCAGATTCCAACTATATCATTATATATATATATATATATACACACACACACACACATTATTAATATTATATATAATATATTAGTATTATTATATATATTAGTATTAAATCACAATATTATTTCTCTATATTATTATATTGCATATATTAAGGGGCTCCCAAACGATGTTGAAGGAGGCACGATGGATGGAGCTGTGTTTGCCCATGACAAGGATCCTGCTGGCGACACACACACACATCTGCAAAGGGTGCATCGTTGTAAACCTAGTGGTAGGCTCAGAAAAGGGCTTTGAAGCGGAAGAGGCGGGCAAAGCGTCGCTGGGCAACGCAGCCTCCCCTCCTCCTCCTTCCCCGATTATGACGTACACCGGGGGGCGGGCCTGAGGCGGCGCTTCCTGGCCGGAGAGAGCGGGAGAGGCCTGTGCCATGGCCTGGACGGGGAGGCCGCTGGGTGTGGGCCTGGCACGCTGGAGCCCCCTCCCGGCCCAGGCAGGAGCTGCCCGTAAGGCCCCGCAGGCAGTCGGGCGGGGAAGGCGAGGGAGGGACGGAGGGGGGCTTCCGCGGGGAGGAAGGGGCCTCCTTGGCAGCCCGAGGCGAACATAGGCCTCGTCGCCATTTTGAAGGCAGAGGGCCCCATCACGTCCTTCCCTCCTCTTCTCCCTCACCTTCTCTCCTCTCCCTTCACCTCTTCCCCTCCTCTTCTTTTCTCCTCCTTCTCCTAATGCTTTTCTCCTCCTCCTCCTCTCCTTGTCCTCCTCTTTCTCTTCCCTTTTCTCTTCGCTTCTCTCCTCCTTTTCTTGTCCTCCTTTTCTTTTTCCTTCTCTCCTCCTTTCATTCCCCTTCCCCTCTTCTTCCCCCTCTTCTTCTGCTCGCCTCCTCTCCTTGTTCTCCTCTTTCTCTTCTCTCTTCTTTCTCTCCACTTCTCGTTTTCTCCTCCTMTATTTCTCCTTTGTTCTTGTCCATCTTCTCTTCCACCWTTTTATTAATTGTCTTCTTCCTTCTCGTCTCCTTGTGCTCTTTTGTCTGTTCTTTCTCTCCTACTCCTCTTCTTCTCATTCTTCTCTTCCCCTCCTCCTTTCCTCCTCCTCTTCTTTTTCCTTCTCTCCTMCTTTCCTTCTCCTTCCCCTCTTCTTCCCCCTCTTTTTCTGCTTGCCTCCGCTCCTTCTTCCTTTTCTCTCTCTTTTTCTCCTTCTCCTCTCCTCCTCTACTTAACCTCCTACTTTTTCTGGTCCTTCTCTTCATCTCCTATCCTCCTTCCCTTCTTGTCCTTCTCCTCCTCTTCTTAACCTCCTCTTTCTCTCTTCTTCCTCTCCTACTCTTCTTCTCATTCTCCTCCTCCTCCTTTCCCTTCTCTCCCCCTCCTTTCCTTCTCCTCGTCCCCCTTTTCTTCTTGTCCTTCTCTTCTTTTTCCTGCTCCTTGTCCTCCTTTCTCCTTCTCCTCTTGACTATTTCAGGCTGTTCTTGGCCAGAGGTATTCAGAGGAGCCTTCCCTGTTCTTCCCTCTGAGGCTGAGAAAGTGTGATTTGCCCAAGGCCACCCACTCTTTTTCTTCTTGTCCTTCTTCTTTTTCCTTCTCTCCATTCCTTTTTCTCCTCTTGACTATTGTGGGGTGTTCTTCCGAGGAGGCTTCCCAAGGAGGCTGAGAGAGTGTGACTTGCCCAAGGCCACCCAGTGGGTTTCCATGGCTGAGTGCGGATTCCAACTCTGACCTCCACATCTATTCTCAACTCACACAGTTTGGCACTGTTTTAACTGCCATGAATCTGTGCTGTAGACTCCTGGGAGTTGTTGTTTTTTCAAGGTCTTTAGCTTTCTCTGCCAAAGAGTGCTCCTGCCTCACCAAAATCGCAGCTCACAGGATTCCAGTCACTTTGGGTGCGTCTACATTGTAGCATTCATGCAGTCTGGCACCACCTTAACTGCCGATGCTTGATGATGTGGAGCCGTAGGAGTTGCAGTTTGATGAGGCATCTGGCCCCTTGGTAAAACTACCACCCCCATAATTCCAGAGCATTGAGCCATGGCAGTACGTGATGTCAAACTGTGTTGACGCTTCAGGGTCTATGACTGTTTTTTTCCATGTGTTCTATTGCTATCTTTTCATATTTCATTTTGTATGCTAGGCTGGAAGGTGATATAACAGTTTAGCAATGGCTGCCCTCTCTGTGACCTTCAGCAAGTCACTGCCACACTCCCAGAAGAAGGCAAAAAAAGAAAAGCCTCTTCTGAACAAATCGTGACATTAAAAATAACTCGAAAGGGTAACCATAAGTCAAAATGACACATTTTGCTTCTGTGACTTTACCCAGGCTGGACTTCTATGCAAACCATAACATGGAACCAAATAAAGGGGCCAGACTCCTCTAAGAGCCTTGCTGTGTGCTTTCAAATAATTTCTGAATTAGGGCAACTTGAAGGCAAACCTATCACAGGGATTTCCTGCCAAGATTTGTTCAGAGAGGGAGTTGCCTTGGCTTTCCCCTGAGGCTGAGCGAGTATGACCTGCCCAAAGTGCCTTTCCATGGTTTAGTGGAAATGTGAACCCTGGTCTCTTTCCAGAATCCAAATCCATCACAGTTTAGTTCAACAGTGTAAATAGCTGAACCTATGTGTCCAACCAGGACATGCAGACTGCCCAATTGATTACACGTCTATTTTGCAATCAAGATTTGGGGTTGGTTGTGTTTACTGCATTCAGCCAAGCATTGCAGTAGGTTAGTAAGAGCTAATGCATATCGAGTTTGGGAGTTCTTCAATACACGCCAAGCATGTCACCCCTCCAGAGACATAGGTTCAACTATGTTGAACTAATGCAGTTTGACATCAGTTTGCTTTGACTCACTGGTTTAGAATCATGGGAGTTGTAGTTTGTTGAGGCACCAGCAGCCTTTACCAGAGAAGTCCAAAGACCTTGTAAAACTACAGCTCCCATGATTCCGTAGCATTGAGCCATGAGAGTTAAACTGGTGTCAGACTGCATTGATTTTACAGTGTGAATGTATCCGGAGTCTCAGCCCCGGGGGGTAAGAAAATGCCAAAAATAGATGACACTTTGCAAGTTCATTTCTTCCTGCCGCATGCTGTGCGCCTGCTTACACACTCCCATACATATGTTTAGGTTTGTGAATGCGTAAGTACTTGCATAATAGGTCCCTATATGTGCTTCCCTAAACATTTGCAGATTTCTCTGTTCCTCATTACTCTAACCGTTCTTGTTTTCCAAAGCTTTCAGACTGTTGGGTTAATACTATTTTACAATCTTTCATATTTGGATTACATGCTAATAATATAATATATATACATATAATATTGATAATATTACAATCCAATACAGAATAATAATCCAATACAATATATAATAATACAATATAGTAATATATAATACTCATATTGTGCTATGCTAATAATATAATATATTGGATGTAGATATAACTCGTAAACTGCTCTGAGTCCCCTTCGAGGTGATAAGAATGGGATATAAATGTCGTAAATGTATTTATTGATTTGCTTTATATTATACTGTATTTTGTATATTTTTTCTATATAATTTATTTTACAATTGTATCATTTTATATTATTTGTTTCTTGTGGGGAAACAGTATTTCTTGCTGTTTCTTTGTCAGTGTTGATGTGGAGATTGTCTGGTTTGCCTACGCTGGAACATGCAACATATCATTGCCTTCTGGATGGCCCTTTGTCAAGAGGGCTTTGATTATGTTTTCTTGCCCTAGTGAAGGGAGTTGGATTGGATGGCCTTAAGGCGACATTTCTCAACCTGGGAAGTCAAGACCCGGGGGAGGGGTCACCAGGGGGGTCACCAAAGACCACCAAAAAACAGTATTTTCTGTTGGTCATGGGGGTTCTGTGTGGGATGATTGGCCCAATTCCATCTTTGGTGGGGTTCGGAATGCTCCTTGATTGTAGGTGAACTATACATCCTGGTAACTACAACTCCCAATTGTCAAGGTCTGCTTTCTCCAAACTCCATCTGTGTTCATATTTGGGCATATTGAGTATTCGTGCCAAGTTTGGTCCAGATCCATCATTGTTTGAGTTCACAGTGCTCTCTAGATGTAGGTGAACTACAACTCCAAAACTCAAGGTCAATGCCCACCAAACCCTTCTAGTGTTTTCTGTTGGTCAGGGGAGTCCTGTGTGCCAAGTTTGGTTCAATTCCATCATTGGTGGAGTTCAGAATGCTCTTTGATTATAGGTGAACTATAAATCCCAGCAACTACAACTCCCAAATGACAAAATCATAATTTTTTGAGTAATGGTCACTCCTTGTGTTGTGAGACGTTTTGCTGCCAAATTTGGTAAGATTTTGTTCGTTGGTTCTTTTGTTTTTAAGGTATTCATTATGCACAGAGCATTTATATATATATAGATTGAGCTTTCTATCTATGATCATGATCCACCTATATAGAAAAATTACACTTTGTACATGTTAAGGATTCAGCCGTAGTTGAACCCAGCTATTTCACAACATCAGAAACCAGTCGTGTTCTTCCTCCCTTAGTCCGGTTCTACACTGCCATATAAAATCCAGATTGTCATCTTTGAACTGGATTACATATGGCAGTATAGACCCATATAATCCAGTTCAAAGCAGATAATGTGGATTACCTTTGATACTCCGGATTATACGGCATAGGAGTGGTGATGGTCAAGACTGGGGATCATGCAGGTAGTGGTAGGAAATGGCTGTTTTATTTCATGCTGGGTAGGCAGATTCAGTTTCTGGTTGCTCCAGATAGGCTGGATCTACACCAGGCACGGGCAAACTTTGGCCCTCCAGGTGTTTTTGACTTCAACTCCCACAATTCCTAACAGCGGTTAGTTTCTAAATCCAGAGTATTTTCTTTGAACTAGTTTATATGAGTCTACACCGCTATACTCTGGATTCAGATACTGGATTATTTGGCAGTGTAGATGGAGCATCCACACTATAGAATACAGCTTCACCACTTTAGCTGCATAGAATTCTGGCGTTGGTAGTTTAGAGAGGCAGCAGCACAGAGAAGGCCAGAGATCTTGTAAAACTACAACTTCCATGATTCCATAACAAAAGCCATGGCAGGTAAAATGGTGTTAAAATGTATTATTTGTTTAGTATAGAAATAGCCTTCGTACTTAGGACCGTGGAAGACTTTTGCTGAGGATCTGTATCTGTCTGATTGACAATTTAATTTACACCCTTCGACACTGCCATATATCCAGATTGTCAAAAGCAGATAATCTGGATTTTATATGGCAGTGTTGAAGGGGCCTAACTTCTAGTCAGTTTAGTGGAAGAGCATCCCTTCAAAAACAATTCCTCTTCATTATTTTCAAGGCTTTATAAACTCAAACTATTACCACAGCCCATTTCTCCATTTTAGTAATGAGGTGGGAATTTCTCTATGCAGAGCCTTTCTTTCTGAATAATTTACCTCCATAATGTAGGCTGATTAGCTCAGTGACTTTCTAGATTCACAACTTGGCAAACTTTTGTGTGAGTATATTATTGTATACCATTAATTTAGGCTTCAGTCCTCAGTTGTTATATTTCCATAGATGGTCCAGACTTTATCTGACTTTATCTTCAACATTGCATTCTTCCATATTTTGGAACTATAAGCACTTTGTGAGTATACTTCTAAGTAATAATTAACCTCTGTTTCTGTACAACAGAGTCCGTTTGGCTGCCCAGATCTTTGGGAAGTATCAACTTTAGCACCAAAGAAAAAGCTGATCCTACCAACCAACCACTTAAGAAACCAAAATTGCCAGTAGGTCGTTTTGACGAGACAGAAGAATCTAACGTAGAGACAGAACCTCTAGAAAGTAAGTCTGGGCAAATGAAATATAAATGTACCTACATTTGGAAAAGTGCCCTAAAATATATCTAGTCCTGAACTGTTAACAGCTCTCTAAGAACATGAAGCAATGGCAGCTATTATTACATTCAGACCTTTAGTGGGATGCATTTAGATTTTACTACAATCATTTTCATTTATTTAGCAGCATATTTTGGTTATCAACTCTTTACAAACAGATTTTCAAAAACACTGTCTGGGATGCCCTCTTCACTTAATATATCTTCAAACCAAGTGGGGGGAGATCCTTTCCTTTATATCTCTCCACTGTCACATTCAGGCCAGTAATTTATACCAGTTCTCTTCTGAAATCTACTGGAACTCCTCTGGGTTTCTCTTTCAATCTTATTCAATGTTTTACAAAAGTCTTCATACACAACTCCACATTAACTGAGTTTATTTACAGATGTCTTGCACAAAAGCTTTTTTGTTACATTTGTATATTAGCGTCTTAGTTGAATATAACATTGTTTCATGACATGTCTCATCCTTATGACCTTTTACACATAGAAATATTCACTTGTTAACCATATAATAGCAAACTCTCAACTGTTCTCCACTCACTATCCTGACTATTTCCTTAAATACTCTTACTTAACTTATTCTCTGACCTATATTCATGGACCCCTAACTTATCCTCCTCTAACGGCTTTTCTTCCCTCTCTCTAACTGACTTCTTTTCTCTCTCAGAATGTTAAGGTTTTTTTTCTTCCAACTGTCATCCATAACTCCCTCCTTTTTAAAATTCTAGCATCTGCTCATTTAAATATGGCCAATCAGACTCCCTTATGTAAATTAGCTCCACCCCTACTGCTACTACCCCTTTAAGAATCACAGAATGGCTGGTCCCATTCCAATATATTCCTGCAATATAGGCCATGTTCTAACGTTAACTTTTACTTTTAAATTCTACCCCATAACCAGTAGTTCGCTACACTGTCCTTTTCCTTTACAGAACTATGGTTATGTAATTATACCTTTAGCTGGCAGTAATTTAGAGCATACATAAACAATTAACTATATTTAAAGGTAAAGTCTAGTTGAGTCCAACTCTGGGGGTTGTTGCTCATCTCCATTTCTAAGCCCGAGAGCCAGCGTTGTCCGTAGACACCTCCAAGGTCATGTGGCTGGCATAACTGCATGGAGCTCTGTTATCTTCCTACCAAAGCAGTGCTTATTGATCTACTCATATTTGCATGTTTTCTAACTGCTAGGTTGGCAGAAGCTAGGGCTAACAGCAGGAGCTCAACCCATCCGGCGGATTTGAACTGCCAGTCTTTCAGTCACCATGTATAGCAGCTCAGCAGTTTAACCCGCTGTGCCACCGCAGCCCCTTAACTCTATTTGGGCTTTTAAATTTAAAATCACAGTAAAACTAATGCCATATGGTCCTAGTTATATTGAGCTAAATCATTTAGTGGTTTGACACTTGAATTTGAACTTCTTAGTAATTTGATATCAAAATTGCTTTTTCAGTGAGGTATACTTTATTTCAGATCTCCCATCATTACTTGCAATGAGTGGATATGTAAAGCAGGTGCTGTAAAAATTAAGATGATATTGGTTGGGCTATAACTATATTTCAATCAGATCAGTCCTTTTATTCTCTAATGATTTTAGCTATTTGGTTCAATTGTATTGTGAAAAGGAGTAGATATAAGTCAAAAGATGGATGGAGTTATGGATGGATTTGGTTCCTTGTGCAACCGATACAACTAGACAACTAATTTGGTTTCTCGCACTTCAGTTGCCACTATAAGTAATAGTGCAGAGGTCATAGAAGAACTGCGAGGGGGTCATGTCAGACTCCCAGTCTGATGGGTATACAGAATTGCTTGTTAACGCTTTGCTGTGCTTTCTTGTTAGAGTTTCCTGATGGCATCAATCCTGTTACGAAGGAGAAAGGAGGACCCAAGGGCCCTGAACCAACCCGTTATGGAGACTGGGAAAGGAAAGGACGCTGCATAGATTTTTGAAGGGCTCCATAACACTTTGGGGATAAAACTGAAGATGAAGATCACCCACATGAGCCGTCATGTATTTATGTGAAATACTATGCTATATGAATGTTATTTAATGACATTTGAAAACCTGCTTTCTATGGATAATTATGTTTTAATAGAACAGGTTGGATGCTGAAGATTGTGCAATTTTTGAAAGACTTATATAACTTAGAGGGATTTTAATTTTCAAAAAGTCTTCTAAGTCTGATTTCATGTTGCCAATTTTTTTCTTTCAGTGCAGATGTCACAGATACTTCAAAGAAAATCCATTTATTAGTTAATAAATGATACGTGGGGGTAAACATGTATTGCCTTCTTGTGTGTGAAGCAGATAAATGTCTTCTACTTATGTGAAGGACACAGTTCTGCACAAAGCATTTAAGTTATCACATCCTAGAAATCATTGTTTTAGGTGCTTGGACCAAACACACTGAATATTACACAGCTGCAGTCTTTGAGTAAAGGAAGAGTTATACCCGCCACTTACCCTGTTTCTGCAGTTTTTCTTCATAGATTGTTATGTATTTACTGTGATTTTCATGCACTTAAACTACTTCTCCATTGAGTTGCTGTGAGTTTTCCGGGCTGTATAGCCATGTTCCAGAAGCATTCTATCCTGATGTTTTGCCCACACCTATGGCAGGCATCCTCAGACCTCACAGCCTGCCATAGGTGTAGGTGAAATGTTAGGAGAGAATGCTTCTGGAACATGGCCACACAGACCTGAAAACTGACAGCAACCCAATGATTCCGGCCACGAGAGCCTTCGACAGCACATACTTCTCTATTGTTTTCCAATACTTAACAAATTACATATCCTACTTAAAATGGTTGTCTGGTTCATGTTGTTATTTTCTTTCTGTATTGGGTCTTCAATTTAAATAAAAGTGTTGTAAAAAAGCATTAGCTCGTATATAAATGCAGACCAGAAATGCCTTATTTTGTGAAGTAATTCTAGGGGAAAGTAGGTTCCTGTTAATTCCCAGCTTTAGTGGTTGCACTTTTTACAATACTTTTATTGTAATACAATACTTTTATTGGAGCCCCCGGTGGTACAGTGGGTTAAACCCTTGTGCCAGCAGGACTGAAGACTGACAGGTCACAGGTTTGAATCCGGGGAGAGCACGGATGAGCTCCCTCTGTCAGCTCCAGCTCCCCATGCGGGGACATGAGAGAAGCCTCCCACAAGGATGGTAAAAACATCAAAACATCCAGGCGTCCCCTGGGCAACGTCCTTGCAGATGGCTAATTCTCTCACACCAGAAGCGACTTGCAGTTTCTCAAGTCGCTCCTGACACAACAAAAAAAAAACACAACTTTTATTTAAATTGAAGATACTGAATACAGAAATAAAATGACAACATAAACCAGACAACCATTTTAAGTAGGAGTGGATAACTATTGGTTAATCATTCTTTTAAAAATAATCTCATCAAAATGGAGCCTGGAAGAAAGAATGGTCTATTCCATTTCTTGAAGTACTCAGTCTCCCAATTCACTACTGAGCAGAAAAATCTTCTCATGTGAAATTGAATAATGTAAAATATGACAAACAAATGACACATGCACATATATAAAAACCAGGGCGCTGATAAGACTAAAGTGGTGGTGGTGTATGTTGCTGAGGCTTGACTTTTAAAATATTTTTTTTAGTTGAGACACTTCTTTCTAAAAGGAGTAACTCATTACCCCAACCGGAATCCTTTCTTCCAATATCTTCAGCTGCCTTCTTCTGAGGTAAACCTTCTCAATAAATGGACATGAGTCTTAATTATAAAGAACTGATCAAGGGAATAATTATTCAAGGATTCACAGGTGTACAATGTTTGATGGTTATTCTGTATTCTTTTAAATGTTGTTACAGTTGACTTTAGTTAAAGAGTTTCCAATATAACTCTCAGTATGGCTTTTACTTCCACCAGACTGATTTTAAACTTATTTCACTGCAAAGTATCTTTCTTTTCTTAACTGACAATTCAAGGCACTGGCTTGCCTTTTTCTCCCTTCAGCTATCCCCACTGAAGTTATGGATTTCTACTGGGGTTTCTTTTCCTCTTAGCTCATGAGTTAATTACTAATTTAAACAGGTCCGATTGACTCTCTAAACCAGTGGTTCTCAACCTGTGGGTCCCCAGGTGTTTTGGCCTACAACTCCCAGAAATCCCAGTCAGTTTACCAGCTGTTAGGATTTCTGGGAGTTGAAGGCCAAAAACATCTGGGGACCCCAGGTTGAGAACCACTGCTCTAAACACACAAGCTGAAGACCTAAACCTCTGGGTTCGGTTTCTCCACACACCAGAACCCAATTTCCACTTTGGTTCACTGACCAAAAGAAACTCACTTTTTAAAATGCCTGCCCCTGCCAAGTGGCAGTTAGCTCCGCCCCTTTGTCTTCTCTAACTTGGATACATTCTAACAGCAGGTTCCGTTGCTATGGCAACACCTCAGCTCAGGCAACACATCAGATGGCCTGTACCTATCATATCCCAAGATCAATAAACACATTTAAAACATTCATTATAATTAGCTATTTCATTATAAATGAATACCTTTTGAAGAAATAATGCTTTGGAATCTTAGGCATTTTCCTACAATGGGCCATTTGTACAGATGACGCAACAAATGGCTAGTGCTACAGCAGCCTCCAAAATGGATAATGCTAGAAGTGTGTGTGGGAAGGGAGGGTGCTCTTTTGGGGGCACCATTTAAGGAAACAAAAAGGCAAGGACCTAACCTACTGATGGATAGAAGAGAGAGGGTGTATACCCTCACTATTAATATGTATTCTGTTATCAGTAATGACTGGATGAGGAAAAACTAACAAACAACAAAACTTTATTTACCCCTCTATCTCCCCGAGGGGACTCAGAGCTGTTTCCAAGTAACATCATCAATACATACAAAGTAGACAACATAAACATAAAATTAACAAGCATAAAAAACCACAATAGCACATATATATTTAAAATAATCCTGCCTGTTCACGGCAATTTAAAAGGCCAGGACGAGGCTAGTGCAATTTGTAGAGGGCCCAGGAAATTTGGTAGAGTCTATGGCTGTTCATTTCCAGGGCCTAATAGGAGGAAGTTACCTGGATAATTTGTAGAAAAAGATATGGCCATGTTCAACAGTATCTGGGGCTGAGCTAGAACTAGACCTCAAAGGCTTGTTTAAGCAACCAGGTCTTCAGGCTCTTATGAAAGGAGGGGAGGGATGGGGCCTATCTTATTTCTCTAGGAAGGGCATTGCAGAGGCGGGGGTCCACCACCAAGAAGGCCCTCTCGTCGGTGGTGGGAGTGAAAGGAGGGCCTTCCCGGAAGATCTTAAAGTTCACGCCGGTTCATAGAGGGAGATGAGATTGCAAAGATAGGCAGGGCAACTTGTGCATATACCCATGCACAAATTGACCCCATGTATAAGTTGAGGGCACATTTTCAGCTCTAAATTACGAATTTTGTTACTGACCTGAAGATAAATCTGGGGTCATTTCTTGGAGAGGGAAACATCACTACTGACTCAGGGTCAGGAACCACTGGCTGTTGTAAATCTTCACTGAGGAAGGCCAGAATTGGTGTCACAGCAGAGATATTAGAACTCCTTGGTGTTTCTTTTAGGTTCTCCCACATGGACTAAACTCTTGCCTTTCACCATTACTTAAGAGAAAGGGATAGTTTCTTTTTTGATAAGGACTCATGGTACAGATAAAAACTGTGGCATAGACACCAAGAACTGGGAAGCCCTGGTTCTTGAGCTGTCTAACTGGAGGTCAGCTGTGACCAGCAGTGCTGTGGAATTTGAAGAGGCATGATTGGAGGGCAAAAGGGGAAAACATGCCAAGAGGAAGGTGCGTCAAGCCATCCCTGAACAGGACCACCTTCCACCTGGAAAATGATGCCTTCACTGTGGAAAAACATGCGGGTCAATAATAGTCACCTATGTATCCACTGCCAACACATTACACTTGAAAGGCCATCATTTTCAGACACTGAGATATCACCTAAGTAAAAATAAATAAGTCTACCTGGGTTTTTTTTTTACTTGTTTTTTGGACTAAAATTTCTAGACCTAGACATGAGTTTATAGGGCAAGCCTAATCCAGAAAGGACCATGATGGTGATGGTTTGTTGAAAGTACATCAGAGAATAGGGATCCAGTTTATGCTTGCTAGCGTCGAGATACTTTCTAAAAAAGAAAATCGTGTACTTTTTTTTTTTTTTACTAGATCCAACTCTGAGACTAGAAACTCATGTATCTTAAGTGGCCAATTGTGTATTTGTGCAGTTAAGGCTTGTGTGCTAGCTATGCTTATTCCAATAAATGCCTAATTTGGCTACAAATTAGTTACATCTCACTTGTATTATAACATGCTGAGTACAGTACTATATTGGGAAACTTCAGCTGGATAAAAGAACTAATGATCAGGGCTAGCTAGTGGGAGCATATATCTCCCTTGTTAATCCAGTTCTGTTGGTTACCAGGCCCCTTCTCCACTGCCATATAATCCTGATTATCAAATCAGATAATCCACATTATCTGCTTTGAACTGGATTCTATGAGTCTACACTGTTTATAATCCAGTTCAAAGCAAATAATCTGGATTTTATATGGCCCCAGTCCATTTCTGGCCACAAGATTCCAAGCTCCAGAAATCGCTCTCTAGACAAGTGCCCTTGGTGCCCTTCCAAGACAGGCAAAGTCAGATGGAAGATTTTTTGGTACACTTTTGAGAACTTAAGTGCTGAGTAGGAATGGGGTATTAATAAGCTGCTGTGCTGTCTATACGTCTTTCTGCTGCTCTTTTTTAGAGGGTATGTTTTTTAAATAGTTAATTTATAGTTCAATTGTATTTTAAATTGTGTATGCCTTAACCGACTTCTATTTTGAAAGCCACCCTAAGTCTCAGGGATAAGAAAAAGGCAGGATAAAAGCTAACAGTAAGATCAACAGCAACAATAGTCATACTAGAAGGATTGCATGATTTAGGTACATGAACACATACTATGGATTTGAAACAAGCAGCTATTGGGTTAATGTGATGCACATTTTCATCCCGAACTTCTGGTTATCCTTCGCACACTGATAGATTAAAATAGACTCGTGACCTTACATTGTTTTCTCTCTGGCAATGAATCATTCGGAAAGAAATTTTGTTAATGGTGCCGTAATAAAGTACACAGCAAAGTTCAATAAAAGCTGTGTTGCACACAAGTACATTTAATACCTACAGCTGTCTGAGACATTTAACTATATACCCCATTTGAATAAGGGATGTATTTTTGATGCTCAAATGCTACTATCTGAAGATTAGATTTCTTTTTTCTTAATCTTATGATCCAAATAGAATTCCTTTATATCCTTAACAGCAGTCCCTGGTAAATAATGCTGGTACTGTTACAGATCCAATTTGATATTACAATATATTTTATGACACTCCCAATACATACAGATTTTAAATGAAATTAATTAGGCTAAACTGTCATGA